ATATGAATAGAAAAGTGACTTTATTTTTGTGTATATCTGACCTTTTAATGTGAAGATATTGTTTAAAAATAAAAATGCTCAACACTTGTTGATTTGTAGAATGCCACCAGTGATAACCAGGGCATCCAGCTGAGTGCTGTTCAGGCTGCCAGGTAAGAAGGCGATGGACTCAATCTATAGCTTTATTTAAAAAAAATACTGTTTCATTGATTCTCTCCATGTTTATGTAGTGACATGTTAAGATTTATTATTTGCTGAAGACTAAAAACATTATATTTTAGCATAAATGTTTCCTAATGTTGATTGTTTCTGAAACAGTGTTTTAGAAAATGCAGTTTCTCTTGCCACAGTTTTCGTGTCATTTCAAGCATTTTGCCCACTACATTAACTGCACTCGTGCTGTGTCACTGAACTTTTGTTTGCGTTGTGGACAGTGGCAGTCATGGGTGTAATCACGATACATACCAAGCTCGCAGGCGTGTTTATGAGCCGCTGATTCTGTGTGTTTTGGTTCAACAAGCTTTCTGTTTGCAGTTGATTGACTTTTTCAAAATAAGAGTTTTGGTTTAGAAATTTCAGATGCTTCTTTGTTTTCGTGAACAAGTCAGTCATCCTCGATTTAGTTTAGGAACATTGTGAATGCTCTTGCTGCTCAACTAAGCTGCTTTCAAGAACTTTAAAAGACTTGGGAAAAAATATATATTTATATATTTTCACCTTTTTTTTTTTTTTTTTTGATGGTTTGGCGTCATCGTGACTGATGCTGATGCTGAGTCACACGGGAGCTCAGCTTATGTTGGACCTGTTTCTGTCACCTGTTTTTCCATGTGATTTCGGGTCTTATTGTTGGTGTTTGTAAAGCTATGCAATAGTATGTGTGGTTAATGGTATTTTGCTCCCTTTTTTTTTCCTACAGGAAGTTGTTATCCAGTGACCGTAATCCTCCCATAGATGACCTGATTAAGTCTGGGATCCTTCCCATCCTGGTCCACTGCCTGGACAGAGATGACAAGTAAGCAGCTGTAATTCTATTTGTCCGCACAGAGTTAATTGTTTTTCATGTGTAATAATTACAGTAGACGTTAGCCACATTCTGTGATCATATTTAATATAAGCACATTTCAGTGTTAAGCTAAACCCTGCAGGTTCATTTGCATATCTTACATCTGAATGTTAAATAAATAAGTTAGATTTTACCTCCCGCTGTTGAACACTAATTATACTTACTCCATCTATAACTTCTGCTGCCGTTGATCATGTCTTGTTTTCCTGCAGCCCGTCTCTCCAGTTTGAGGCAGCCTGGGCTCTAACCAACATCGCGTCCGGTACCTCAGAGCAAACCCAAGCTGTGGTCCAGTCCAGTAAGTCTTTCTGTATCACATTGTCTTATTTTGGCTTTCTTTTCCATGCTGCTTTGTGAATTTGTCTGTGCAAATTTTATTTTAATATTACTTACACAAATATTTTTATAATTGAAACCAGCTGGAGGAGGGTTATTGAAGCATGTGAAGTAAATTTTAATTATTTCCTTGGCTGGCTGAGGTTGTTAAAGTAGGAGCAGTAAAATTAGAACAAAATGCAAGGAAGACACAATTTTAATTGTATGTTTTATCCTATATTAATATTTTAAATCATTATTTTCTGTGTGCTACGAACCTCTAGGCCACTCTTAAAAGATCTTATTCTCAATAGGTTTTATCTGGCTAAATAAAGGTCATGAAAAAATAATTTGCCAAAGCTGAATTGAAAGCAGACCAGCCAAATGAAGCTGCTGATGGGCTGAAGATAATTATTTTTGTGCAAAAACAACAGCGAACACATCACATTATTTCCTTGTTTTGTGTGTATGGGTGCAGACGATGTAAATATTGTCTGCATGACATAAATATACAAGACTTGTATTCATAATACACAAGTCTGTACATAAAGTCTGTATTTTTTTTAAATCTAATATAGGGATGCACCGATCCACTTTTTTCACTTCCGATACCAATATGGTTTAGTATCAGTCGATACTGATCTGATACAGAAAAATAGTGCTGAATTAATTTAAAGCATTTGTTTTTTTTAACGCCAACATAAATGTGCTGAATTACACATTTATTGGAAACTCTGTACCAGTAGAGCACACTTCAACACACCAGTAGCTTCACAAGCTTTGTCAAACGTAAAAACAACACAAGTTTAATTTAAGTCCGTGCAATTATAACACCCAATAATTAAAATAAATAATAATAAAGATACTGAAACTGATAAAAACAACAGGTTGACAACTTTGGTCAAACATGAACAAATAAATTTCAACAAACCTTTCAAATGGTTCAGGAATGCTAAATTTTATGTAAAATAAAAAATAAAGGAGCTGAAAGAAGCAAGAGGAAAAAACAGCAGCTTCACTAACTTGGTTGGCAGATATTAAAATTAACAGCAATCAGCTCCTGTCCTTATGGATCGGTCACATTGTCACCAATACCCGATCTGGAATTTATTTTTAAATTTTTTTCCCTCCCGTTATCTGTACCGATACTAATATCGGCACAGTACATCTCCATTTCTGTATCTGTCACTAAGACTGCTCCAAAAACTGTTCAAACCCTTTTTGTAACTGAATTCAGTTCATTTATTTTATATTCCTCTGTGCTCCTCACTTGTAAGTAAAACACTTAGTTTCTGTTAAATTAGTTCGACACACAGTTGTGCGTCTGTTCTACCAAAGCTTCACACATCCTGCAGCAGTCACTGACTGAAAAAAGCTTCTGTAATACAAAATGCTAAATTTAGATTTGAATGGTTGTATGAACTTTTATCAGTTTTCCAGGTGGGATTAAAGAGTTGTTGACTTTCTTCATGCCACCTTGTAAAGATCTCAGATTGTTCAGGCTTTTGTTTGTTTATAAATGAACACTTTTTTTATTTATTTTGTGTGTGTAGATGCTGTGCCGCTGTTCTTGAGGCTGCTTCACTCTCCTCACCAGAATGTGTGTGAACAGGCTGTGTGGGCTCTGGGCAACATCATCGGTGAGTAACCACTGATCTCAGCTCGTGAGTTCATTATTGTTCTGATGGATAATTTTCTCTTTCTGAGATTGAGTGTGGACAAGTCTGCTGCAAAGACAGGCTCACTCATTGCGTGACTGAGTTTTTATGTAAACTACGCTTCTGTTTGTTGTGATTACTGCTGAAAATTTGAGGCCACTCCCTTTAAATAATTGTCCATGGCTTTTAGGATGACCCATGATAGTCATCTGCTGGTGTGTTTAGTTAAACATAAAATTAATTCAATCCTAAAACACCCTGTGCTTTCCTGTGTGTTGTGTTCAGGTGACGGTCCGCAGTGCAGAGACTATGTGATCAGCCTGGGAGTGGTCAAACCCCTGCTGTCATTCATCAGTCCCTCCATCCCCATCACCTTCCTCCGCAATGTCACCTGGGTCATGGTCAATCTGTGCCGTCACAAGGACCCACCACCACCGATGGAGACGATCCAGGAAGTGAGTGTGGTAGAAATTAACACGTGTGCATGCAAGAGTATTTAGGTGCATTTAATAAAATTATTATTAACCTTTTATTTATCCAGGCCAATCCCATTGAGATCACAGATCTTTTGCAAGGGAGGCCTGGACCTGAAGGCAGCCTAACATGAATTAGTAAAATAATGTTTTGGGGCTGACGTAGTTCGGGGGAAAAAATAGCTTCTGGTATTTTGAACACTAGTTTTCACGAGCTGCAAGTTAAAAACTGGTTCAAAAATATTAACACGCTGTTTCTTTACACGTTAGCTGAAGAATAATCCCACATTTTATCCAAAGCATCAGATTTTCATTAGCAGTCTCTGAATCCTGAACGTTTGTGACCGATGACCAGCCATCTAAGTTGCTGCATACTGAGGTCTATCTCTTTTTCTTTTTTGATCTTGATTTTTTTTTTTTTATCTTGATTTTAATTGATTTGATCTTAATTTTTTTTTTTTCGTGCATGGTTTGCAAAAGTTTGCTCTTGTCTTGGCACATTGTGTTGCCCGTCTTCGCCCACATTCTACCTGCTGTGATCTTAGTCATTGGAGAGATCCCATGAGGTCTCGATACATCTCTGGAGCTCTAAAATTACAAAACCTTAATTGATTAGTCCCATCCAGAGGACCTGACTTAACTTTGTTGGCTTTTTATCTGGATTATTGAGCATGAACTTTGACCTTACTGGATTTTGGTTTGAGATATTCACAACAGGTTTGTGATGATTTAGATTTTTTTTTAATTGGCGGACACTTTTTTTTTTTTTTTTTTTTTTTTTTTTTGGAACATGTTCAACACTCAAAAAGTAAAACTTTCAGTTTGTGTGAGGAGAAGTCCCTCAAACGTTTTGAGACATTTATGAGACTCCCTCGTGAAAATTATTCACCAACCATTGCAGTCCAAATACTGGCTTTAGTTTGACTGAAAAATATTTGGTCTGTCTCTCAATTTAGTTAAAAATGCAAAGATTTTCAGTTTTTAAAACCTGCAACATTTTGCAGATATTGAAGCTCTGAGCAAATCCTGCATCACTTTAAAACGAAACTTGTCTTTTGTTTTCTAGATCCTGCCAGCTCTCTGCGTGCTGATCCACCACACTGATGTCAGTGTGAGTACACATTATTTTAGCAGCCTTACGTATTGCTGCTCCCAGATGACTTGTTTCTGCACGGCCTAATAAAGCTGAATTAAACCAAAATGCATTTGTTTTAATCTGTTGTTGGCTCCAGATCTTGGTGGACACTGTGTGGGCTCTGTCCTACCTGACGGACGCTGGAAATGAGCAGATCCAGATGGTCATCGACTCTGGCATTGTCCCTCATCTGGTCCCTCTGCTCAGCCACCAGGAAGTCAAAGTTCAGGTTTGTTGAGACTAATCCCACGCAAGATTAATTAAAACTCAAATGGGCTGTAACTAATTACACTACATCCAACAAACAAGCCCCTTTATTTGGTATGGTATAAAGTTTATTCATTTTAAAAAATACAAAACAATTCCATAACAATATAAAAAAAATACAAGAGATTTAAAATGAAAGGCAGCAGAAGAAGAAAAATCTTATATCTGCCCCTTTTTTCAAACAATTAGTTCAATCATAGTAATTTTCAAGTAACAGAACAAAATGAATAACTCTATACATATATATATATATATTTTTTTCTCACCTTTACTTTTGCGTCTGAACTCCAGCAGAGTTCTGGGTTAGCATCGTAATAAATACACTTCCTCTTCACGTTCAGACTGCCGCTCTGAGAGCTGTTGGAAACATTGTGACGGGCACAGATGAACAGACGCAGGTGGTGCTCAACTGTGATGCCCTCAGCCACTTCCCAGCACTCCTCACTCACCCAAAGGAGAAAATCAACAAGGTAACGTCCTTCATTGTTTTCACTCCTCGCACCGATGATCTCTGAATGCTGCGGCGCTTGTCTGGAAGTGATGAAGCCAGAGACTTTGTGCACGTATGAACGCGGAGTGAACGATGACAGAGGGATGAGCTTGATGAGGGTAAGTTCATGGAGGATCCTGAGGATGAAGACGGCGATGAAGACTTTGAAGACTGGTCATTTAGGGACAAATGTTGGGGGGGGGGGGGAGTTGCTGTGTGTGTGTGTGTGTTTGTGAGATACCATGGGTCGGTGGAGAAAAGGGTGCTGAAACATCCCTGCTGATATCGGAGTGCATCTGAGAACAGTCACGTAAACAAACGAGGCCTTCTTTGTGACTGGACGATGATTAGAGCCTCAAGTCACCCCCTCCCCACCCACAGCACTTCGTCTCGACCAGAGGTCGACTCTCTGAGATGACCTCTGGGTTCTGATCTAGCTCAGCCACAAACACCAACCTACAGTTTTGCAGTCCCTGCTGGTGTGTGAAGTCACATGGAGGTACGACTATCCCACCCAATCAGACATTTGTTTTCTTGTGTTTGCGCTTCTTGTCCTGCAGGAGGCGGTGTGGTTCCTGTCCAACATCACAGCAGGAAACCAGCAACAAGTGCAGGCTGTCATCGATGCCAAACTGGTCCCCATGATCATCCACCTGCTTGACAAGGTTGGCATCCATTTCAGCTCAGTCATGAATCATGATTTTTTTTTTAGCAAGCAATCTGAAAAATGTGCATCTCACATTGAACGTTTGAATTTCAGGGTGACTTCGGCACCCAGAAAGAAGCAGCCTGGGCCATCAGTAACCTGACGATAAGTGGAAGGAAGGATCAGGTAAACAAGTTCCTCTGCTAAAACACCTGTGCCTTCATAATGGTGTTAAACCCAGAGTTTACGCTTGTACATTTGTGAAAAATGAGAGAAAAGACTGCAGTTTTGACTTAAACCTACTGAGTTTGAAAAAGATGCAGTTTGTTAATCTGAAGGGATTTTAATTCATAGCAGAGACAGATTATTGATTCTTGTCGTCCTCAGGTGGCACACCTCATTGAGAAGCAGGTGATCCCTCCTTTCTGCAACCTGCTCACAGTGAAGGATTCTCAGGTCGTGCAGGTTGTTCTCGATGGCCTCAGCAATATCCTCAAGATGGCCGACGATGAGGCAGAAACCATCGCTAACCTCATAGAGGAATGTGGAGGTGTGTTCCTCGTCTTTGTCTCACGTCAGGTGCCCGTGGTGCGTCTACAGTTTCCAACCTTTCTGTCTTGCAGGTTTGGAAAAGATTGAGCAGCTGCAGAATCACGAAAACGAAGATATCTACAAACTGGCGTACGAAATTATAGATCAGTACTTCTCATCTGATGATGTAAGCGACTCGAAGATTTATGCTGCTTCTCACTCATTTGTTTTAGGTTTAAGTTTAAAGCCGTGCTGTTCGTTTCAGTTCAGTTTATTTACAAAGCTGTGCAAAAGTCTTGAGTCATGGCTCATTTTTTGAATTTTGCTTCCAAGGAATCAGAACTTTATGAAACTTTTTAGGGTGGTCTTGATCAGTATTTTCTTACGCTTTCAGCTTTTCTTTTGAATAATTTTTTGTCAAACACTTTTTTTTTTTCAACTTATTTTTCTAAACTGACCCATGAATTTTGCAGGCATAAAAACGTAATAAACACAAGAGATGAACCAGTGTTGACATAACTTTGCAAAAATACATATTTTTAATTGACATTTTCTAAAAACGATTACAGTGAAGAATTCAACGTATTTACATAATGTTTTTGGAGTCCTTATTGTCTGCTTATAATGGTGAAGTCCATCCATCCATTTTCTTTACCCGCTTATTCCATTTCGGGTCACGGGGGTCGCTGGTGCCCATGTCCAGCAATCACTGTGCGAGGGGCGGGGTACACCCTGGACAGGTTGGATGGAATGGTGAAGTCCTCTTTGTCAAATAGTCCAAATATCTCATTTTAAAAATTTATCAGCAGTTTGTCACAAAGAATTTATTAAAACCGTTTTGCACCCAAGGAGTTGTTAAATGAAACGGTGACACACGGTACATGATCAACCGAAGAATGACGTATCTTTCAGGATGTTTTTATTTTGTATTCTAGTTGACTACAATTTTTAGATATTGTTCTTCTGCTGTAGATGGTCTTTTAGTCCTCCGCTTGTCCAGTTTTATACATTTTTCTTTTTTTTTTATGTACACTGCATATTTTGCAGATGTGGTCATGTCCAAAAGCTGGACAGAAAATGTGTGACAAAGCAGCCACAGTCCCAAAAAAATGCTCCTTAAGGTCTTCAGAAAGATTGTTATTATTGTTATTATTGTTATTGAACTATTGATCAAGACCACATTTAAAAGAAAAAATATAATTTGAAGCAAAATATAAAGAAAAGTAGGTTGTTCAAAGCTTTTGCACATTACTAGATAATATACATGTGCTGGTCAAAGTTAGAATATCACGAAAAATTTGACTCATTTTAGTAATTTCATTCAAAACGTGAAACTTGTATATTATATTCATTCATTACACAGACTGATATATTTCAAATGTTTATTTCTTTTAATGTTGATGGTTATAACTGACAACTAATGAAAACCCCAAATTCAGTATCTCAGAAAATTGGAATATTGTGAAAAGGTTCAATATTGAAGACACCTGCTGCCACACTCTAATCAGCTAATTGACTCAAAACACCTGCAAAGGCCTTTAAATGGTCTCTCAGTCTAGTTCTGTAGGTTACACTTTGCACAAGGAGGGCAAGACACAAAGTCATTGCTAAAGAGGCTGGCTGTTCACAGAGCTCTGTGTCCAAGCACATTAATAGAGAAGGGAAGGAAACTGGTAGAAAAAAAAGTGTACAAGCAATAAGGATAACCACACCCTGGAGAGGATTGTGAAACAAAACCCATTCCAAAATGTGGGGAAGATTCACAAAGAGTGGACTGCAGCTGGAGCCGGTACTTCAAGAACCACCATGCTCAGACGTATGCAAGACGAAGAGTTCAGCTGTCACATTCCTTGTGTCAAGCCACTCTTGAACAAGAGACGGCGTCAGAAGCGTCTCACCTGGGACTGCTGCTGAGTGGTCCAAAGTTATGTTCTCTGATGAAAGTACATTTTGCATTTCCTTTGGAAATCAAGGTCCGAGAGTCTGGAGGAAGAGAGGAGAGGCACAGAATCCACGTTGCTTGTGGTCCAGTGTCAAGTTTCCACAATCACTGATGGTTTGGGGTGCCATGTCATCTGCTGGTGTTGGTCCACTGTGTTTTCTGAGGTCCAAGGTCAACGCAGCCGTCTACCAGGAAGTTTTAGTGTTTCATGCTTCCTGCTGCTGACCAACTTTATGGAGATGCAGATTTCATTTTCCAACAGAACTTGTCACCTGCACACAGTGCCAAAGCTACCAGTACCTGGTTTAAGGACCATGGTATCCCTGTTCTTAACTGGCCAGCAAACTTGCCTGACTTTAACCCCATAGAAAATCTGTGGAGTATTGTGAAGAGGAAGATGTGATACACCAGATCCAACAATTCAGAAGAGCTCAAGGCAACTATCAGAGCAACCTGGGCTCTCATAACACCTGAGCAGAGCCACAGACTGATGGACTCCATGCCACGACGCATTACTGCAGTAATCCAGGCAAAAGGAGCTCCAACTAAGTATTGATGCTGTACATGCTCATACTTTTCATGGTCATACCATTAGTTGTCAGTTATAATCATCAACATTAAAATAAATAAACATTTGAAATATATCAGTCTGTCTGTAATGAATGAATACAATATACAAGTTTCACTTTTTGAATGGAATTACTGAAATCACCTTTTTTATGATGTTCTAATTTTATGACCAGCACCTGTACAGTAGTCCCTCAATTATCATGGAGATTACATTCCAGACACCCCCGCGATAGGTGAAAAATTGCGAAGTAGTAACACTATATTTTAGTATTTGTATGTTTTTAAGGTTTTATTTATGTATTTATTATTTATTATTTATTTTATTTTAAGGCCTTCCCACAGGCTTACAATGTTCTAAACTCATAAACCTTTGTAATTTTAACAACATACGTATATGTACTGCAAAATTTTACTCACCAGCTCTGCAGAGCAGCAGCTTGGTTCCGGTCCAGCTCTGTTCCAGTTCTGCAGACCTACCCTGCAGCAATGAAGCCCACCAGGTTAATGTGCTCGTGGCTAATTGTGCTTCAGGATTATTTGTGACTTTCCTGCCAGTTCTGTGAGCTTCATAGATGGATCGTTACTTCTGACTTTGCGTTGCAAAACTTTCCCTCCATCTCGGCAGAAAGAAGCGGCTTCTGGGTAGTGTAGTTCTTTAGACTGGCCTGGTTTTATAGGCTTATTGAAAGAAAACTACTAAATGACGTCATCTGTTCGAAGTTTTTTTTTTTTTGGGTTGTTTACTATTTCGTACCATCCCGATCACGTGAGTAATATTAAAGTTGACAATCATTGAAAAACCGCGAAAGTTGGAACCACGAAGTACGGGTCATCTGGGTAAACTTTGTTTGAAAACGTAAAAAGATCCCATTTAAATCATGCCTGTTATGTTCAGTTCAGTCCAATAACACCCCCCCCAAATATATATATATATATTTTCCCCCTAACAAAACACAATTTGAAGACAATTGTCCAACTAAAGCCAGTATTCAGCACCAATCCTTTACTTTAATTCCTGGATTTGTCACATTCAGACTATTGTTAAAAAAAAAAAAATTATACGGGTGTCATTTGGGCAAAACAATCTGGTTTGGTCCTCTTGGTCCAAATTAAAACATAGTGGTTTAAATCACAAATATAATTTGGCATCAGACGATGAAGGACCCTGAAGGCTGACACCAGTAATTTAAACGTGTTAGATTAGGAGGCAACCAGAAAACGTTCAAACCCAGTAAATAATTTTGTGTATTTTTAATTTAGTTTGAAGATTTTCCCAAGTTTACCAACCCATTTCCAAAACCATGGAGCATTGTTTTGTATTGTTCACTTCTCAGTTTCTTCATGGAGCCCCCTCAGTGTGAGAGATCTTACTAACTGTGGGTGTGACTGTGTGTCGTTCAGATCGATGAGGACACCAGCCTGGTCCCGGAGGCCATCCAGGGGGGAACCTACAGCTTTAACTCAGCCAACGTGCCAGCCGAGGGATTCCAGTTCTAGACGTCACCTGGGGGTTTTCTGGAGTTTTGTTCACGATGCAGCACTCTGTTCAACATAAAAACAAATTAGGAGAGAAAGAGCGAGAGAGAGCGAGTGTGAGAAATTCGATCCATTGTGCTTGGCTCGTGGGATCCATGGCTGCATCTTATCTGAGAGAAAATATGTGGATTTCATTTGGCATTCCAGGGGAACCAGCCCAAATGAAGTTTGAGATGGCGAGTGGGTGCGAGTGAGAATGAGTGGCTACATGTTGCAACACACACACACAAAAAAAATCCCCCACAAAACATCCACATCGAATGAGTAGAGAGACGTGCCGACGTAACTTCTGTTATCGGAGCTGTCGTCTTTGGGGGAAAAACTACTTCAAACAAAAACTTGATCTCTGCCCAGGGGAATACCGAGGACTTTCACAAACGACGAATCAGGAGATCTTGAAATATTACGAGAAAACGCAGAAACCAATACAATTATGAACTGAGATGAACCACAAACCATCACAATTCTGCGGTCCTCCAGACGTGAGAGGGCGCCACACCCTCCATGCGCCCCTCCCTCAATCGGCCACGTTATCGGACGCGTGTGAATGGACCCATTGTGTATGAATGTCTGGACTCAGTGCCGAGGAGCCAGGTTCATCTCCTCCCAACGGGACGCCCCGACTGGGCACCGTCCTCCACCAACCCCCCCCTCCTATCCTCCGGTGGGCGGGGCCAGGAGTCCGGCTGAACGTGTCGCGTGTGCGAGAAAATGGACGGATGAGTTGTGTGTGCTTGGCTGCGTGCGTGACTGGGGAGTGTGCGGTTCTGGGTGAAAACGCATGCGGAGTTGGGGAGGTCAAAACAAAAAGATACAAATCGACATCTGAAAATTGAGAAACGCAACAATACGTTAAGCAAAGGTTGCAGGGAAGAAATTCTGCCTTTTGAAGGAGGCTGATCTTCAAATCTCTGAAAGGATGAACTTTGGATATATTAAAAAAAAAAAAATGTCATCACAAGGATTATATATTTTTTGTTTTGAATTATTAAGTTGGTATTAATTGACACTGGACAATGTTTTATGGCAGGTGTGAAGCGACGCTGCATTGAATTAAGATGCTCTCGGGCTTTTCTTTTTGCCTCCAGTGTGTTCCTTGTTTTTTTTTTTTTTTTTTTTTTTTTTTTTTTTTTTTTAACAATTATATATTTTTTTTCTATTTTTCCGCTTTTACTTTGATTGCTTCTGTAAAGGTGAACGATGATCGTAATCCATCCTTCCACCAGAACCCTAACCTGAACACCACACCGTGGGCTCGATGCTGTAAAATTCTGACACCATGATCAACCGAATGACCCCGTTCCTCTTGTAACGCCTCGTTTTTCAGCCAAATCACTGCGTTGCAGTATCGTTGCAGTATCGTTGCAGTATCGTTGCAGTATCGTTGCAGCGGCGCTGATTATCACCACAGAAGAGAACCATCTCATAGGATTGTGAATCATAACCTTTGCATGTACTAAATGATAGCACAGTTACTTTTGGGGTATTTTAAGTTTCCTTAGGCTGTGAACACAGTGTAATTTTCATTTTAAGTAAAACTGTGCTTAAATGTTACATGTTTTCCCCTCCCTTAATCCTCACTATTGTCCTATTTGCTAAAATCTTATTGTTTTGCACATGTACTGCAAAGTAAGGCCTGAAGTCTTTTTCTAAAGGTGCGCCAACAACCTCTACATTATGCATCAGTCGACCACGGTCTTTGTTGTCCTAGAGTGACCCGACGATACGTTTTATTGGCGATAACTGAGGAAAATATAATTATTTCAGGAGCAGCATTCGTTAATCTAATGTATTGGCTTGAATAAAAGGGTGGGGGGGGTTTGACCTCCCTTTTCTCACAGTCAAAGGTGCCCCTATGCGTCAGACTGGAGCTGTTCCAAGTGGGTTTTCCTGAATAATAAATAAATAAACCCACAGACAAGTTTGCTGTAACTGTAGTACCTTGCAGAGTTCTCACCCCGTCCCCTTGTTTTGCTCCTCTACCAGCTAAGTGTACAAGCTTATCCTCTGGGGGGGTTGTGTAAACTTCAAACACTGTAGTAATGATTACACATTGTGCTCATAAACCTTTTGTTGAACATAGGGATTATTTTCTTTTTGTTTGTTGCAGCATTCCTTGTTAGCAAAGTGGTTTCAAATATTAAAATTATTACATAGAAGGATGGAAAAAAAAGCCTAAAACCCTTTTTTTTTTTTTTGGGAGGTAGGCTGCAAGGCTAGGTTGTCTTCAAGAAAATAAATAGTGAAACCCATACCTGAGAGACTGCGTGTGTGTGTGTGTTTTGTGAAAATGTAGCGATTAAAACTTTTTTTTTTTAATATACATTGCTCGTTTACAACTGACGAGCTTCATCGGTTGAGTCGCCGCCGAGTTCAAACTGGAAAACGGCGCGCCCTGATTGGCCAGAATTCCGGCTTTTACGCATGCGCACTGCTAAAAGTGCGAAACGTCGCGTTTGGAAGTAATCGAGAAATTTGGAATTGACGGCGCCCGTTGTGACCCGTAACATTAACTTGATATAATTACACTAAACTTTCCACTTGAGTTTTTATATTTCACACGTTACAACTTGTAAAGGCAATTTGTCTAAAAGTTGCATATCCTAAATTTTAAGTTTTCGTTCCGCCCGTTTGCGTTTAGAAATTTACTGGGTGCGCCTGAAGGCAGCGGGAGAACGGGAAATGAAAACTGCTCGGGACAAACATTTCTCATCAAAGCTGTCGATGACGGTGAGTTTAAAAATAACAAACTTTCCTATGAAACGTTTGAAAACTCGCGTCGCGTCGTCGCAATTGCAATGATCGTATAACACGGCAGCTTATAAAAATGTACGTGTTGCACGAAATTAAAAAAGTAGGGTTCGCTACAGTTTTTCGACAACGAAGCCTGTGTTGACTGTAAATAAGTCCCACGTTGTCACAGCGGAAGCGTCACGTTTGTTTACACGTTTACGTTTGTGGTGTTGTTTTTCCTGACTAAGATGCATAAATTGCAGAACTCTGCTAAATCTCCATTGATTTCTTTAAACCTTGTTCTAAAACAGAGTCTTTTGGAATCAGTTTAAAGTGGTTTAGATAAAATTTTCTTAAGTTTTTTTGGACTTTACCCAACTATTTGCTTACGTTTTTTGTTTGTTAGGTCACCTGACACATCACTCAAGTGTGACAAAACAAACAAGTGTTGTGTAGCTGTTTTTGTTAACACTGAAGACAACAATTTTAGAATGTGTTGAGGATGACTCTCAGCTACTACTACACCACATTTTAGCCCAGTAAACATTAAACCGAGTTGTAGTCTTTTTTTGTGGCGGCCATCTTGAATTGATAAGTGAATCATATTTAAATGTTCGTACTAATATTACTTTGCTCGGTGGTTTATGGAATATTTTGCTAACGGAGTTGACTCAAAGTAGTTCTGGCACATTGAAAAATAAAGTTCTCCTCGGATCTGTTGGCTCTCTGAATGTGGGTCACTCTCAGCTACTACCGCACCAGTTCTGGTTCAATAAAGCGCCACCACTCCCCTGCTCCATACATGCAGACATGGGCAACAACATGCTTCATCTTCAGCTGATAAATTAGACCTTTAAGCACTTTTACTCGTCGCCTCTTTCAAAGTTTTAGTGAGTTAATGAATTTCTCCAAATAGGTGCAACGTGTCCTTCTGTCCTGCTGAAGTGTCTTCCTGTAGCATCATGGAGAACCTGGAGGAGGACCTGACATGTTCCGTGTGCTACTCCCTGTTCTCCGACCCCCGAGTGCTGCCGTGCTCCCACACCTTCTGCAGGACCTGCCTGGACAACTTGCTCCAGGCGTCCACCAACTACTCCATCTGGCGTCCGCTCCGCCTGCCCATAAAGTGCCCCAACTGTCGCACCGTGGTGGAGCTGCCCCCGACTGGTGTGGACACCCTGCCCACCAACGTGTCTCTGCGGGCCATCATCGAGAAAGTAGGAGAGGCTCTCGCGTTTCGTTTGATGTCCCTCCGGGGACTTCCTGTTCTCCTGAAAGTCCTCCACACGCCTGCTCTCATTTGTCTTTTCATTTCTGCGCGCTCAGTTCCAGAGGGACAGCGAGCCCCGGCCCCCGTCCTGCCTGGAGCACCGCAGGCAGCCCCTGAACATGTTCTGCGTCCAGGATCGGCAGCTGATCTGCGGTCTGTGTCTGACCGTCGGGCGGCACCAGGGCCACCCCATCGACGACCTGCAGGCGGCTTTCATCAGAGAGAAACGGACTCCGTCGCTGCTGCTCGCCAGACTCTCAGAGCAGAGATGGGCGCAGGTGGGGGAGGACTTTTGAAACCCTCTGGAACCCAGAGTGCAGTTTGAACGGTAATGACTTTGACCGAACGTGTTGATCTAAATGCAGGTGTGTGAGCTGGCGGAGCAGCTGGAGCAGGACAAAGCTCGCTGCGAGGCTCTGGTGAGGCAGGACCGACAGGAAGTCGATCAGTTCTTTCTATCGTTGGAGGGGGTGCTGGCCAGGAAGAAACGAGCCTACCTGGAGGCTTTAGATAAAGCTGCTGCAGAGGTGTCGCAGGTGTACGACCCCCTCATCCACAGAGTGAAGGAGCTTCAGGTGTGTACGCACATCATCACAGTCCCAGTACCTCCATCTGAACGCCACGCTTTCACAAGTGTGGGAAACGATGGAAGGCAAACTACCGTATTTTCTGCCGTACCAGTCGCGCACCGCCCTATAAGTCACATCTGTCCAAGTATTTCTATAAAAGTGAAAAAAATCCATAAATATGTTGCTTTGCCGTATATGTCGCATCTATTATGCATCACTGCTGACAATCCAGAAATGTGGGCCGGTGTTGTTTCTTCGAAATTTAACAAGAAAAGCACCTAAAACAATTATTTGTTTACTTGAAATTATAGCAAAGGTGTGTCTCAGTTGAACTTTTACTTAAAAAAATGCACTTTAATGGTCGAATTAGCTGCATTTCGCCGGGACGGTGCAGCTGATTTGAATGCTCCAAGCAGCAAGCAGAACGAAGGTATGGGTATATGGCAAGCCGATTGTGTCATTAATAGTTGATGAAGATTCTCAGTGATCTCGAACATGGTAAATTCAAAAAGTTCAAGAAAAAAAATCAATAAGTATAAAGTATAATAAATGAATTCCAGTTTTTGTCTTGAAACGTTTTGAATTTTTCATTAGTCACATTTTCCTATTACATGATACAACGGCATGCCTTACTGCTACTACTACTCTGCTTCCATCAAGTGGCTGAAAATGGTACTGTTCCCCTTCAAAAAATCAGTCCGAATGAATGAAAACAGTCATGTCTCAGTCAAAAATTGGTTTATAAATATTGGGGAAAATCCATAGATATGTCGCTTCGGCTTATAAGTCGCAGGGCATGAAAATTATGCAAAAAAACATGGTCGAAAAATACGGTAACTTTGCAACGCAGCATTGAGCAGACGAGTGTTGCTCAGTATGAACAGGAAAGATGAGCCGTCTTGTCGGCAAGCTTTTACCCCTATCGTTTCGTTAGCTGCAGTGGAATAAAGCTGCTGATGTGGTTGCAAACAAGACATTTTAAGATATGATAGAACTCTATTGATCCTGCAGGAAATTGTTGTGCCAGAGTTTCAGTACAAAGGAACATGCACAAGAAATCACAAGTTATAAAAAATAACAGAGAATATAAAAATACCAACAATGAAGATCTAAAACAGGTCAGGTGCTGACAGAAACATTATTAAAGTGTTTATTGTGGTGCAGGATTAATTTTATTGTCCTACTTTTAATGAAAGGGGGAGGAGTTGAAAAGTTCGATAGTCACAGGGAGGAAGGACTTCCTGTTCTGTGGAGCACCTCGGTGGTCTCAGTCTATGACTGAAGGTGCTGCAGTAAGGTAGCGAAGCGTTTCGGTACACATGCTTGGATCTGAGCTGTGCTGCTACAACCTTTGGAGATACCGGAGCAGTCTACCGTGGGGGTTTGGTGCGAAGTACGGGAGCAGTCTACCGTGGGGGTTTGGTGCTCACTTCTGTTCTGTTTGCTTCTCCTGAACCTGGTTCTGCTAAAGGTTTCTCATGAGGGAGTTTTTCCTTTCCACTGTTGCCTTCATGCTTGCTTAAGATGAGTCTGTGATGAAGTTAAATTCAAAGCAGTCTGCTCCTCAGATGAATATTGACTTCAGTTCAACCTTTATTTAACATCTACAGTGCCTTGTGAAAATATTCGTCCCCCTTGAACTTTTCAACCTTTTGCCACATTTCAGGCTTCAAACATAAAAATATATAATTTTAATTTTTTGTGAAGAATCAACAAGTGGGACACAATCATGAAGTGGAATGAAATTTATTGGATGTGTCAAACTTTTGTAATAAATAAAAAATTGAAAAGTGGGGCGTGCAATATTATTGGGCCCCTTTTACTTTCAGTGCAGCAAACTCACTCCAGAAGTTCAGTGAGGATCTATGAATGATCCAATGTTGTCCCAAATGACTGATGATGATAAATAGAATCCACCTGTGTGTAATCAAGTCTCTGTATAAATGCACCTGCTCTGTGATAGTCTCAGGGTTCTGTCCAAAGTGCAGAGAGCATCATGAAGACCAAGGAACACACCAGACAGATCCGAGATACTGTTTAGGAGAAGTTTAAAGCCGGATTTGGATACAAAAAGATTTCCCAAGCTTTAAACATCCCAAGGAGCACTGTGCAAGCAATCATATTGAAATGGAAGGAGTATCAGACCACTGCAAATCTACCAAGACCCGGCCGTCCCTCTAAACTTTCATCTTGAACAAGGAGAAGACTGATGCAGCCAAGAGGCCCATGATCACTCTGGATGAACTGCAGAGATCTACAGCTGAGGTGGGAGAGTCTGTCCATAGGACAACAATCAGTCGTACACTGCACAAATCTGGCCTTTATGGAAGAGTGGCAAGAAGAAAGCCATTTCTCAAAGATATCCATAAAAAGTGTTGTTTAAAGTTTGTCACAAGCACCTGGGAGACACACCAACCATGTGGAAGAAGGTGCTCTGGTCAGATGAAACCAAAATCGAACTGTCTGGCCACAATGCAAAACGATATGTTTGGTGTAAAAGCAACACAGCTCATCACCCTGAACACACCATCCCCACTGTCAAACATGGTGGTGGCAGCATCATGGTTTGGGCCTGCTTTTTGTCAGCAGACACAGGGAAGATGGATGGGGCCAAATACAGGACCATTCTAGAAGAAAACCTGTTTGAGTCTGCAAGAGACCTGAGACTGGGACGGAGATTTATCTTCCAACAAGACAATGATCCAAAACATGAAGACAAATCTACAATGGAATGGTTCACAAATAAACATATCCAGGTGTTGGAATGGCCAAGTCAAAGTCCAGACCTGAATCCAATCGAGAATCTGTGGAAAGAGCTGAAGACTGCTGTTCACAAACGCTCTCCATCCAACCTCACTGAGCTTGAGCTGTTTTGCAGGAAGAATGGGCAAGAATTTCTGTGTCTCCATGTGCAAAACTGGTAGAGACATAACCCAAGAGACTTGCAGCTGGAACTGCAGCAAAAGGCGGCGCTACAAAGTATTAACACAAGGGGGCCGAATAATATTGCACGTCCCACTTTTCAGTTTATTTGTTAAAGTTTGACACATCCAATAAATTTCATTCCACTTCATGATTGTGTCCCACTTGTTGATTCACTGTAAGTCACATTGAGCCTCAAAGACTCATTTACATGAGTCCTGTTTCGACAGACAATAAATTTTTTTTTTTAATATATGAATGTTTCTGTTCAGTGCCCTGAGATGACTTCTGTTGTGACTTGGTGCTATATAAATAAACTGAATTGAATTGTTGACAGGGTGGGGATGGTAAGGGAAACACTGCTGATGATCCTGCAGTTTGCTTTTCTCGTGAGTAACTGTTTATAATTCAGTTTCAAAGTAAGCAACCGCCGGGAGCCTCATATGGATCAATCCATGAACAGATTGTTTACCAATACCTCTTCAGTGAAACCCCATCAGATGTCTATAAGATCATTTAGCTTTTGAAGAAGCCTCACTTCATGAAGTTAGTGGGAGAATGTAACTAGTTCATGTTGATCCCTGATAAACTGCAACAGCCTTTAAGAAGCAAATATGTCGTCAGCACTCTCTGGTTCTGTAACAGAATGGTTTGGAAACTGGTCTGCATGAACAAGTTTTCAGAAAGTCTGACGCTGATGGTCGTTTTCAATATTCTCAAGTTTTGAACATGTTAAGTGACAAATCCTTCCAAACTGTCAGTCGACGTTCTGTCAAGAGTCACGTCACGTTTCAGTGAGCACAAGCACAAATGAGTGAAGGGCGAAAGCTGCAGTAAAGATCAAATCACTGGAAATGACTGACTTAAAAAAAAAAACTAGAGAAATAGCATTTCCTCAGAAAATGAAGTGTGAATGCTTATTGATGACGTTACAGAGCTGAAATGAGCTAAAAACATGCTGAATTGTAGCTAAAATTGAAGAACAAGCCTAAATAAATAAGCCGAAGCAGAAAGACACATTTGCTGAATTAGGTTTAAAGAAGCAGAAATTAGCTAAACAAACAGCTGAAAAGTAGCTGGAAAGACAGAAAGAAGCTTAAACTACCAGAAGAAACGAAAAAAGAACTGAAACAAGCAAAATTGTGGAATTGGCTAAAATTAGCATAAAGGAGCTAAACATTAGTAAAAGCTGTAATTGGCAGAAAAAAGCTGAAAGGAGCAAATAAGCTAAAATGAGCATAAATATGTTAATTAGGTTGAAAGTAGCAAAAAGTACCATGAAAAACTTGATTTCATCAGTAAACGGCTGTTAGCTTAAAAAAATGCTGAAAAGGTAGAACAAGCTTAAATTATCAGAAGCAGAAAGAACACAAATTTGCCCAATTAGTCTGAAAGAAGTAGAAATGAGTGCAAAATAGTGAAAATGATCTGAAAAAAGCTGAAATTGGCACAAAAAACTGCTGAAAAGTAGCTAAAAAGTCAGAAAGAAGCTTCAATTACCAGAAGGAAGTGGAGAGCACATTTTGCTTAATTGGGCTGAAAAACATTGAACTGAGTGCAAAATGGAGATTAGCTGAAAAAGCTGAAATTAGCAGAAAGAGCTAAATAGTAGCTGAAATATCAGGAAAAAATATGAAAGGAGCATTACAAGCTGAAATTATCAGAAGGTTAGAAGCACAAAAAATGTAATTAGCAGAAAGGAGCACAGAACAGCTGAAAAACAGCTGAAAAAGTTAAAATTTGCACAAAGCTGCTGAACCAGAACAAACTGTGAAAGGAGCAGTAAAAAGTTGTAAACAAATCTAAAGATCTGAAGGATGTAAACAATTTTAGGAGGAAAAAAATGGCAGAAAAGGCTAAAGTTGCACCAGTTTGTCCTGAAAGAGCTGAACCTTTTATAAATTGCTGAAATGGCTTAAAAACTGCAAAATGTCCATAGCACTGAAAAACATGGAGTTAAAGAGGAACACAGTGAATGAACACTTCAGTCCTCTCAGCAGCTGCTCAGCATCGACTCATTTAAGAACCTGTTTCCTGCAGGAGGAACAGTTGGACCTGGTGTCTCTGGGCTCGTCTGTGGAGGACGAAGACTCCCCACTGGTGTTTCTGGAGAAGGTGCATTTGTTCAGAGAGCGGGTGGAGCGGTTCATCAGCACCCCGCTGCCGTCTGCCATCAACCTCTCCGTCAGCCCGAGAGCAGCGGTGTTCCTGCAGCAGCACTGGCCCGCCGTCACAGTCGGCGGTCTGGACCAGGCCCCGGTTCCTGAGCTGCGCTGCTGCTCCCGATGTGGCACCGCGCAAACTCAAGTGGAGGTCGTGGGACCGGTGAGAGAGGCCCGGGGGAGGCGTGAGCTGCAGCCCGCTGCCGCCGCAGTTCTGCTGCTGGGGGGCGTGCTGCTGCTGGCGGCGCTGTGGGTAAACCTGGTCAGTGGGGCATCGCTCGGGTTCTCTCTGTCGACCCGCTTCGGTCAGTTCATGGACGGCCTGAGCGGCGACCTCCTCACATCGGTGTGGAGGGCGACGGAGGCGGCCGTGGTGGGCTGGAGCTCCCAGCTGTGTTTAGTGAAAGATCAAGTCCTTCAGCAGGCGGACGCTTTATTCCAAACTCTGACGTCTGGCTGAACCAGAACCTCCTCAGTGTCGCTTCCCAAAACCATCGCACTTTAAAACAAGATACGACGAGGGGGCCCCAAGTGGCCCTGGGAAAATCTCCATCTGGCCCCCAAGAGTTTTAAATGGAAACCTGCATGTCGGTGAAACTTGAGGAGGAAAAATAACTTTTTCAGAAATTGTCTAATTCTTAAGGAACACCGTGGAGACTTTTATCAAACGTGCTACAAAACAAGTTGATCTTTAAACTTTATATTTTTCAGTTCAGCCCTTTGATTGCTTTAAGTATCTGGGTTTGGTCCTCTGGGTGAAGTTGTTCCCACTCGGACTCAAAAACCCTAAAAACAGCTTTTAGTTTTTGTCGTTTCTTGAAGTTCGATTGTTGAAACATCAAAACTTTAAACGGATTATAATTAGTTTTCAGGAAGTTAATTTCTGCGCCTGCTCTGCAAAATGGACGAAACGTATAAAACGAGCTGAGCAGAATCTTTTGACATCAACTCTTCAGCCTCCTGGAGTTTCCTCTGACTGTTCGGTGTTTTTAACGTATCCTCTCTGTGAAGGTGTCCATCTTTTCTTCCATCGTGTGTTTTACATTTAGAGTCAGAGGTTTTGTTTTAAAGCTGCGTCACCGTCACAACGTTTTATTGTGCAGCTGATAAATGTGTTGAGCTTGAGGAAATCGTGCTTTAATGTCATGAAAACTGGAATTTTATGTTTTAAAAAACCAAAACCCGCTATTAGAACATAAATGTTGATCATCGCAGAGTTGTAGCAGCCAAATGTGTTTAAACTGCCGTACGTTAGTATTTAAATACTGAAGTATTCGAGCAGTTCACGCTGCACGAGTTAAACTGGAGAAACGTCCGTTTTGTGACTTGGTTGAGATAAAATCGTTTAATTTTGATCTCCTGACTGTCGTTTAAAGTCCTGTAGAAAAATTGATTTCATCCAAACCATTTCAGAGAATTAGGTTGCTGGTTAAAGCAGAAACGTTTTAGCCCACGTAAAAAAAACTGTTTAATTTTGTGATGACACATGTTCCTCATTTTGAGTCCGCTGGATCGACCAGATATCACGAGGAACACGAACACCAGCTCAGCGTTCACTGCAGTCCAAGTTGTTCATCGACATGTTTATTGTGCAAACATTGTGATGTATTTTCTTCACCCACTAAGAAAAGCACACATTTTATATATATTCATCCTGTTTCATGTATTTTTTACTCTGAACTGTAAAGCACTTTAACTTTTTATTATGTGGTCACTGACATGAAGACAAATGGGAAATTTAACTGAATAAAGTGTAGAGAAACCCTGAGCTGTATTACTGCTAGCTTCTACGTATGGATTCAGATTTACGTCAGACAATAATGAGCTTTTATTAAGAAAACGTTTATTAGTTTAGAAGAATAGCAGCATGTGACATGGTCATATTTACAGGGTTTAAAATCCCAGCAGTCTTCAGGTTTATGTGGAGATGAGCTGGAGTTCTTTGAAGGCGATGGATTTGGGGTTGATGCCGACGTTCTTGGTCGTGTTGTGAGTTTTGTAGATGCCAATGAGACGGTCGGCCTTCTCGAACATGTGGTCCCTCAAGGAGATGATGATGAACTGAGCGTTCTTCGTTTGTTCCTGCACGCAGAACGAAACGTCATTTATTAAGTCATGGATGAACGTGTTGTTGCTCCAGACTTTTTTATTTTTTTTACAATAAAACAAACTTGTATTAAAAAACTTTATAAAAAAAAAAAAAAACTGGCAGTAGAGTCCAGCAGTTTGAGCCTCAGAACTTTCTGATCCAAGTCCAAAGATGGAGTTTAAATTTAATAAGAAATCTTTATACGACTTGGATGCGACACCAATTGGCAACTTTTGATATTAGAGGATTGAAAGATCTGGAAAGTCTCAGTTTAATTGCACGAGATTCTGCAGAAGGTTCTGGTTTTTGTTCTTGTGACTCGTTGTGTTTTAGTTAGCTGCCACTTTCAGAATAAACCGTAAAATGCACAACTATTAGTTTTTCAGAATAAAAGCATTTCGAGGCGTGCAGCTCTTACGTATATGTAACTGGCCACGATGGAGACGTTCTTGAAGTCCAGAGCGGCGTCGATCTCGTCCATGAAGTAGAGCGGCGTGGGTTTAAAATGGTGCAGAGCGAACACCAGAGCCAGAGAGCTGAGGGTCTTTTCTCCTCCAGACAAGTTAAAGATCTTCTTCCAGCTTTTCTTTGGAGGACGAACACTAAAGATTTCAAACAGAGAGGAGGAGTCTGCTTCTATCAGGGAACAACTCGTAACAAAAGATGGTGATAAAGTTGAACTCTGAGACAAAGCCCTGCAGCTACCTGAACATGATGCCTTCAGAGAAGGGGTCCAAACTGTCCACCAGCTCCAGCTCGGCGTCTCCGCCCAGCGTCAGCATCTGGTAGTTCTCCTTCAGCTTGTTGGTGATGATGTTGAAGCCCGTCATGAACTCTGTGAGCCGCCGTTTACGCAGATCCTCGTACGCTCGTTTAAACCTGTCCCGCTCCGTGGTGACCTCATCCAGCTGAGCGACACGCTGCAGGTACAGCTCCTCCTGAAACACACACACACACCATTATTCCTCTGACTTTACAGTGGACTGAGGGTAAAGAACTACAAAAGATTAATTTTTACCATAAATACTGCTTTGTTTTATTTCAACTTCAAGTTTCTTTGCATTCGCATCAAAAGGTGGAACAAAGTCTTGGTTACACCCAAAAATATAAAGTGTAAAAAGAGACCGTATACAAGGATCTAAGATAAACACTAATAATGTAAAACAACACGGTGTAACAACAGCAGCAGCCTGAACATGAGTCTGTGGTGAGCAGGTGGGTATGAATGATACAGCAGCACGAGATAATCAACTTCTGAGTAATTGTAAATAAATGTGTTTGCTAATAATTATTTCTTGAACAGAATCTTCCAGAGTTTCATCTCCACAACATGAAAACCTGACTCGGGTTTTTTCTGTTCAGCTGTCACACACGAACATGTCACGTGTTGGATTTTCAGTGATGACAAACTGACAAAGTATTTCATATTTCAATTTATGTCTGGTAATCTTTTCACCTTTAGTGGACCTCATGGTTTATCTTTAATATAAAATGTGACAAATACTCTGACAGAGCACGTTTTAGAAATTTACACTATTTTAGAAAATGCAACAGGCACCAGAGTCTGACGAGGTGAATGGTTTTTTGTTCTGTACCACACTGAGCTTTGAAACTAACTTACTGTTAATAATAAAAACTAATAAATTATGAACAAAGAGTTGCACTAAAGCTCAAAAATCTTATATAATCTGATTTGACTCCTCCCCCAAATAAACTGCAAGTGATTAAAACATTTTGTGACATTAAGTTTATATTTGATCTGAACTGAAACGTTGTGCTTTATGGTGAGAAATTAGTACCTAAACTTGTTTCAGAACAACTTCCAGTGAAACATTTTAATCGAACAGCAGCTACTCATATCGACGGTAAATATCACGTCTCAGTAATCACTGAACATAAATACTCTCCACGCTTGGTGTACCTTCTTCTTGTACTCTGCGATGGCCCCCAGGTTGGGCTTTATCTGACCACAATGGACTTCTAAGGCGCTAATCTTGTTGGCGATGATGTTTGGATTAGAGGTGCCTTCCAGCTCGGCAGCAGATAACACCTGGAGCTCCTCTGCTGGTTGGCCATCGATGGTGTGAAGGGAAAGCTTCGCAGCCTGTTGGGAAACCATCGCAGGTCAGAGACACTAAAACCTTTAAACATCTGACATGAAACTGAAGAAAAACTACCACCAAAGCACATGGAGCCAAAGTATTTATCTGAGTAGGTTCTAGATGAAACCAAAAACAGGAAGTGACACTTCACCTCATCCTGCCAGTGCTTGATCTTGCTGTTCTGTTTGGAGATGAAGGCGTCAATTTTCTCGATGGACAGGCGGACGTTGAGGGACTCTTCCTGCAGGGCGTGTTCCTGCTGCTGCAGGGCATTTATTTCTTTGGTCAACGCACGGTACTGTTCCTGAACGTCAGGCAGAGAGGCCTAACGGACCAAACACAAACCCTTCATGTTGATTTGAAGTTGGAACAAAGTTAAATGTTGAAGGACGTCAGTGAGGAGCACTAACCTCTGCCTCGTGACAGGCTTTGATGATCTCTCCAGCCTCCTCCTCCAGTGTTTTCAGCTGTTCATTGAGCTTGACCAGCAGCTTCTCACCCTTCTCCAGATCACCCTGAACACGAGCGATACCCTCCTCACACTTCTTCAAGTTTCTGCAGATGAAATAAACAGGAAAAACCTTCATGTACTTGTTCTTTTAGAGGTGCAGTGACAACACGAGAGCCGTTGCGTCACATTCAGAGTGGCAGAACAAAACACCGGCTTTAAGAAGTGAATCTCTGCTCCGGTCAACTCGTCACCTCCCGCTCCGATGAACGGGTTAGCTATACGGCTAGAACGTGAGCAGCAGGACAGCCGAGCTGCAGCTTCTGTCTGTCCACAGAAGACGAGACGCCGAACCGTCCGACAACCAAATTTCTTCTTTTGGTGTGGTCCTACGATGGACGCTAAGACAACGACTTCTGCAGCTTCACACCGAACTAAAGAACACCTTCCACATGACGGATACTAGGGGTGTGAATCTGTCTGGTGATTCAATTCAATTCCTATTTTTGATGTCACGATTCGATTCAATATCGATTTTTGATTCAAACAATTTTTCTATTGAAATGATCATAAATTTTGTTTAAATTATGCACCTGACAAGATGAAAAGATTAAACTAGAACATAAATAGAACATTTATTTAAAACAATTTTAGGTTCCTCACTAACAAATCTTTTTGCATCATTTCATTTTTTTTTTTTTTTACCAAAAATAGGAACAAATGTAGGAGTGAATAAAGTTCTATAACCTAAATCACCAGTATTGTAGTAACTGAGCTGCCTGGTTTTTTCTTGTCTCAGTCTTCCCCTGGAACATTGTAGAATCCCAAACGTCTTAACAATGAAAAAACAGGTTGAATCGCGACGTCCTCCACTCCATACTAGCAGACTCCATTCAGATAAAGGGAGCTGGCTGGCTAGCTTGCTGTACGGTGGCCTACAAGGCCAAATTCTACAGTGACAGGCGGACATGTAGTGCGATGCGAGTAGGAGCGGAAAAAAACGTAAACGCATTCTTAAATTGATTTATGGGCCTTTGGAATCGATTCAGAATCGCAAGGACTAAGAATCTAGATTTTTTTTTATGAATCGTTTTTTTCCCCTCCACCCTTTATTTACTCAGAGGGGAAAATAATGATCAGATGCAGCTCAATGAATCCCTTTTAAAGCAGACTAAAGGAAAACATTGGGATCATTAATCACATTAATATGTAGTGTCTGTAAAGTTCAACAGAAGCACAGATTAGAGAAAACAATCAGGATTATGCCGGCTGACAAGTCTCATGAAGACATTTACTTGGTATGGGATTAGGAGAAATAATTATTTTGGTAGTAAACTCTTCAGAGCTTCAGAAGCAGCAGAGTCGACAACAAAAAAATTCCTAAGAAGATTTTTTGAGTAGTCTGTCTTTTTTCAATTTCAATTCATGAGCTCCTCGGTGTTGGATTAGCTGGACAGCCGGTCACAACAAACACATCACACACAGCCTCCACTACGGTTTACCAGCAGCTGTCCAGCCAACGACATCATTACCAGCCACACGAAGAAAGACAATTTTAATCACAACTGAAAACTTCATTTAAAGGAAACAAAGACGTGGAGATTTATGTAGTAAAGTAACACACACACCTGTCCCTCTCCTCCACACACACACTAAACATAATTACGCGTGGCAGGACAGATTGCTGCGTTTACCGTGGAAAGTTACTGGTGCCAACTCTGATGCTGTCACTAAACTAAGCAGCTCTTAGACCGATTCCTCACACAGCTGCAGTTTGTTGTGTGTGCCAGAGAGGATGAAGAACGGCATGTCTGTGACGAGACATGAAATTCTCTCAAACAAATATTAGTTATGTATAAAACATTTCACAACAAATACACATTCCTCTGTAATATAATATAAAAAATCTGGTAAAGAAGCACTTTAGCTCATGTTTAAGTGTTTTTATTCTTACCGATCAGCTGTCTTTATGGCCACTTTGGCCTTGGTTATAATGGAGGAGCAGTCGTCCAGCTCCTTGTTGATCTTGTCCAGTTTGTCTTGCTGAGCCTTCAGTTTGTGGCTGTTGATGTCCACAATCAGGTTGTGGAGTCTGTTCACCTCAGTTTCCACCTTCCTAGCCTTACTAGACGCTGACTCGTAATCTAACACAAGTGTTAGGAGAGACAAAAAAGCATAAAAATTATTCTATATACTAGTACAACTTTACCATAACACTTTCAACATGTAAAGAAAAACCCACAACTGTATGTTTTCTAAATAAAATCTTGATCAAAATATTTAGGACTTCTCTTTACAGTTTATAGCAGTTTGTACCTTTTTTGAACGCCTCCAGGCTCTTCTCCATCTGTTTCTGTTTGGCCTTGTCTGGGGCAGCAGCCAGCACGTTGGCTTCAAGCTCCTTAATCTGGAGTTTCAAGTGAGTCTCTTGGTCAGCTAAACTCTGAGGAAGAAAACATGTTGCTTTACAAGGAGCAGAAGACGTTGGGCCGGCTAAACTGTGACACTTTGTGTGAATATGAGCAGCAGTGATGTCTGAACAATAAATAAATACCACAAAATGAGACAAACACAGTGGATAAAGTAGTTACACTCATGCTGTTGGTGTATTTTTCCAGAGTGTTCTTCATCTCTCTGAGCTGTGGCTGCAGGCGCTGGACGTTCTCCTCGAGCTGCAGCTTTCTCTCCTGGCAGCTCTGCAGCCTCGACACTTTCTCATTCAGCTTGCTCTCCATACGATCAAGCTGGAAAAAAATTTAATTAAATCAAACTAGAGAAATTACGTTTCCTGCAAAAATGCAGTGTGAATGCCGCAGAAGAACTTGCTGAGAAACAGCTGAAATTAGTTAAACATGTTGAATTGTACCTGAAATGGAAGAACAAGCCTAAATTAGCAGAATAAAGCAGAAAGAATACACATTTGATGAAATATGGGGTTTAAATAGACAGAAATTAGCAGAAAAATTAGGAAAGTAACTTAAAAAAGCAGTAATTAGAAGGAAAAAAAAATGTCTGAAAAGTAACTGAAAAGGCAGAAAGAAGTTTAAATTACCAGAAGGAAGTGGACAAAAGAATTAGCTGAAAAAGCTAAAATTAGCATAAAACAGCTACCGGTAAGGTAAATAGTAGAAATAGCTGAAACTAGTTGTGGTGTAATGGTACATGTGGGTGTATTGAATAGTTTCAGTACACAGCATGTTCGGTCCATGTGCGTATCATTTCGGTTATTTTTTCACACATTCAATTTTATTAAGAGATTATGCGCCGCGGAACTAAAGTTCCTAAGCGTGTTTCAGCACAGCGCTATTAATTGTTGCATAGTCTTGCAGCACGCGTAGCATTAGCAACCTAGCAGGAGACCCTTTCATCTTGTTGCGGTCGCCTGTTTAGGAACATTATGGCTTTCTTGTTTAAACTCAACAACAGTGAACAAATCCAAAGCGGCGTGTCGACGTTTCACGGAGATTGGATCTGCAGCAGGCAACACGTCTAACTTGTTAACATACTTGAAACGACACCATCTGAATGTGAACATCTCTTCTACAAGGAAGAAAAGCAGCTTGGTGCAAAGACTGATAAGAGCAGCATCTAAACACCTTTTATCAGGTAATTCAGATCAGTCCAAAGCAATAACACAAGCTGTAGGAGTTTTTAAAGATCTGGATCTACGGCTGAATTCTGTTGTTGATGCGCCGGCTTTAAGTATATGATTAAAGTTCTTGAGCCCCGTTGCCTACAACATCCCATCACGTCAACACTTCAGCCAAAAAGTTGTACCAGCACTTTATGAAAAAGCTAAAACTGATCATCAATACACCCAACCCTGATGATGAGCGAGAGGATATTCAACCACTTCATAACAGAAATGATGACCGTGCAAGAAGAGGTAATAGCTATGTTTACATGCGCAACATTTTTTGACCGGATTGAAATGTTTTCAGATTAAATTCAAATGTATTGTTTACATGGGCACAATCTGTTCATGACGAGCGTTTACATGCAGCGGGCTTTGTTCTGAACAGCAGTACTGACATGCGCAGAGTGATAAACTCTCCTTAAAAAATCCACAGAAGAAGAAGTTCTACTTCCGGGGTGAACGTAAACAAACCTGAGCACCCAAAAATGGATCCGCGACAGGTTTTAATGATGGTGGAGACGTTACTGCACTCCCTGACTGAGCTACAGGTAATATAGATCATTTTGAGCTCTTTCAAAGTTTCTAGTAGAAATGTTGTGTCGCTCACCGATCAGTTTTGCTCCCTGACATGCTAATATTATTAGCATTAGCCAGGTGGAAATGGCAAAGTCGCACATGCGCAGTCAGGTCAGTTTTTCACGATCAGATAACCTATGTCCATGTAAACATACCTATTGTTATTGTATTATTGTGATCTAATTAACGTTTTTAATTTAAAAATATAATCTTAACTCAATTTTTTTTTTACCCCTTTGTGTATGCAATCTGAGGACGTCACCGAGAGCGAGCAGCTGAGTCTTCTTCACCTTCAGGGAAATATTTTATTTATTTTTACACAAACATGTTTACTTGGCATATTTTCAAAATAAATGTTTTGTAAGACTTTATTTTGGCCTTTTTTGTACCGAAAATTAACCGGACTGAGCCCTCCTTGAAACTGAACCAAAACGAAATGTGATTTCAGCGTATTGTTACACCCCAAGGAACTAGCATAGCTGAAAGGAGCATAACAAGCTGAAATTAGCATAAATTAACATGAAAAATGTGAATTCATCCAAAAACAGCCCAAAATAGCTAAAAGATGCTAAAAAAGTAGAATAAGCTTAAATTAGCAGCAGAAAGCAGAAAGAACAGGTTTGTTTAAAGAACAAAAATTAGCACAAAAAAAAAAAAAAAAAAGAAAATTATCTGAAAAAAGCTGAAAATAGCAAAACAGCTGAAAAATAGCTAAAAAGCTGAAATAAACTTAAATTACGGTACCAAAAGGAAGTGGAGAGCACATTTTTGATGAATTACGTAGAAAAAAGTTGAAAGTAGTTAGAAAAAAAATAAGAGAATTATCTGAAAAATCTAAAATGAGCATAAAACAGATACCATAAATATCAGAAAAAAATCTGAAACTTGCAGAAATTAGCAGAAAAAAGTTCAGAAGTACAAAAATGTTGTAGTTAACAGAAAGAATCTGAAAGGAGCACACACAAAAAAAAAGCAGAAACTGAAATTAGCCGAAGAGAAAAAAAAAAAAGTTAAATTTTCATGTGGAAGCTGAAAGAAGCTGAACCAGAACAAAATGTGAAAGGAGCAGTAAAAGGTTGTAAACAGATCTAAAGATTTGAAGGATGTAAAATGAGCTCAATTCATTTTCTATGAGAAAAAAAAAGTGACAGAACAGGCTAAATATTTAAAAAAGCTAAAGTTGCACCAATACCAAAGTCATAGCAGGACTGTCCTGAAAGAGCTGAACATTTTGATATTGACTTGTTGAAATGGCACAAAAATTGTGGAACGAGAAAGATGCCGAAAAATGTACGGAAGACAAATGGATCACAACAGTGCTTCATAAACATTCACACAATAATGTTTTGTGTTCACCAAAGTTCATGCTCAATAATCCAGGTATAAAATCCAACAATGTTCAGTCAGGTCCTCTGGACCATGCATGCATCAGGATGTCCTCTGGACAGTTTTTCTTTTTTTGCCGAGATATTTAGTCCTTCCTCCAAAGGACTTCTTCGATCTGAGGATCCACCAACAAACAAAACTGATTCCTACAAACAGCATGCCCCATGTCTCAGAGGAGGAGCCCTGGAGGCCATCTTAGCACTAGCAAACTGGTTTTGATCCACTACAGGGTTTCAACAGAAATCAATCAAATTTATTGATTTTTTAAATAAAATTTAAGTCGTTTCTTTTTAATGTCCTTTTAATGTCATTGAAGGTGAACGCTTAAAGTAATACATGTTAGTTTTTTTCTTTTGTTTTAGAATAATTTAGAAGATTAGGTTGTGCTTTAGTTAATGAAGTGAGCATCACAGAAACAAGAGGAGCAGAACTCTGCTGTGCTGACGTGACGCTCAACGCATCAAATGAGCGGCAAACGTCTCCCTCGTATTGTTTCCAAGACATGAAGAATGAACTCAGCTTAGAAATTATTTGTGGTTAACTAACTTTTAAAACTAAAGACAAAATGACTGCATCATCACTGATCTTCCCTCGGTAATAATAAATCTGTTAGTTGTTTTAATCCTGCGGCCGGGTGGTCTCACAGTCCATCATCATCACTTCATGACATTATTGAGCCACAAAGCAGGCTTTGCAGATTTTTTAAAAATAGATCATTGAATCCCATTTTCTTAGAAACGGAGGAAAGTTTTTCTTTAGGCCACTGAGATTCAGTTTTATGCTTTTAAACATGATTTATGGCCTTAAATTTTTAAACACCCATTGAATGCCATAACACCTCGTGGAAACCTTTTAAGAAATGTAGGATTTTAAACCCTTTTAGGTCATATTAATAAGAGAAAACTTTTGGAACAAAATAAGTAGCGTTACTAAAGCTTTTGGGAGCAAAAGAAAAAGTTAATTCTGTTAATAAGAATATTGTGTTTGAAAACTATTGTGCAAATTTACAGTAAATACTAATTAAATAGAACAAAACTAAATTGTATGAAATGCATTAAAAAAAAATGTCCTTTTTTAATCACAACTAATTCTTTAAGCAGTTAAATTTATAGAATCAAAACGATTACATATTTCAAGACACCTTATAAACCCAGATTTGCAAACTTTGACCTCACCTCCACCTGGGAGACCTCAGCACTGATACAAGAACCCATTCTGCCCTTCATCACTCTCCCTCCTCCAGTCATGGTTCCTGGGAAACACACACCACAGGTCAAAATAAAAACATCCAAAAACAAAACTGGAGTTCAGACACGAGTCCCACACCTGCGATCTCAATGATCTGTCCCTTCAGGGTGACCACCCTCCAGCGCTTGTCTTTCTGGAAGGCCAGTCTCGTGGCCTGCTCCATGTCTTTGGCTACGAGTGTGTCCCTCAGGGCAAAGTAGAAGGCTGGTCGCACGCTCTCATCGTTCACTCGCACCATGTCAAACAGGCGAGGGATGTCCTCTGGAGTGCGAATAGAAGCCATGTTCTTCTCCCACACCTTCATCTGTGGAAAGAAGAAGTGAAGCAGAAATGACCCCAAAAACACTTTTGTGACTGAAGTTCTGAAGTCACTCTCTTTACCTTGTCAAGGCCAATGAACGTGGCGACCCCGATATTTTGTTCTTTAAGGAAAGTCACACACTTCTGAGCCGTGTCGATGGTATCCACTACAATGTTATCCAGAGCCCCACAACAAGAGGAAATGGCTACATCGTACTTCTCATCTATGGCTCCAAGGTCTCCCTGCAATCACAGAAAGACATTCAAAATAATTTTAGACCCTTTTCTTTTACTGGGAAAATAAATACAGTAAATATTTTTATCCAGTAAAACAATCTAAGTGGACTTTAACATGTTACTGCAATGCTTATGTCAATGTTAAAATATTTATTTCTAATTTACCAATCTTCCATAGATGCCAGGAATTCTGCCACTCTTCTTCAGCTGCATTAAAGCATCCAGAACTTTTCCTCGACTGCGATTAGAGGACAGGGAGCTCTTGGCTTCATCCACCTTCTGCCTCAGTTCTCTTACTATTTCTCTGGTCTCATTATCCACCTTCATGAGCTGCTCCAGCTCCATCTGGTCCTGCAGAGAAAAAGGGAAGAAGAAGAAGTTAGTGTAAAAATTAAAATTGAAGCTACAAACACATGGTTGTATTATTTTGTTGCTTGCTGTTGTGAATGCTACTTGAACTAAATAAACATCGTAGAAGTTTTACCTTCTTGAGTTCCTGCTCCTTCTGGGGTATTGTGAGCTGGAGGTCTTTAATGGCAGCAGAGCGTTCCTGCAGCGTCTCAGAAGTTGTCTGAAGTGTCTGTTTGGCTGTGTTGAGCTGTGTTAAAGCAGTTTTGTGGCGACTAAGATAGATGTCAAGTTCTGACTGGGCTAGATCCATACGAGAACGGGTCTCATTTACAGCCTTGCTGAGTTCCATGAGCTCTTTTTCCTTTTTCTGAGTGGAGCAAGAGAAAAACAAAAAGGTTGGAAAACAAGCAGTTCATCCTTCTGAAATTGAGCAAAACGTGTCTGACCTACAGTTGCATCAACCATTAAAGAAAGATGTTAATGTTTACAAACCTCTTTGTCCTGCTGCAAGCCACTGGTTTCTTCTTTAAGACTTTCCATCACTTCTTTCAGTTTTTCTTCTTCTTTTGCCTTCTGTTTCTCCAGCTCTTCTTTGCGGGCTGTTGCCTCAGAGATGGCTTCTTCACTGCTGCCTGGTACGCTGCGTACTTCCTCCAGCTGAAAAACGAGTCAGACAGGAGAACAAGTCAAAGTCAGAGATGCATCTAACTGGGATTTTTAATTGACAGGTCACACATGGACATCAACGAATTTCATTCATCTTTACAACCATGAAGCAAAATGCCTTAACTAGTTAGGCTTGCTTTTAATTTACTTTTAAAAACAACTGTAGACGGAAATGAACATAGTCAAGTATTATTCTACTGTACATTGAGTTATTTATACTAACTTTCCCTTGTTTTTTTGGGGCACATATTACGAGAAACACTAAAAACCTGACTTTAGCTCACCTGACATACTCTATCGTACATCGTGTTATAACTACAATATGATCCTAGCATCACAATGGATCTTTTCATGAAAAGTTTAAAAATACAAAATATTGAATATGTCACATGGAAGCTAGATTATTGTTGATGTTGTGCCAATACAGATGAGCAACAAATGTGTATTTTTTGCTGATAACTGCCATCTTATCTGTTGCATCACATATAATAAATAAAACAGGCTTCAAGCCTCCTAGGAGTCAAAAATAAATGCTCATGTTCCTCACACACACAGCTGGTGCATAGCCTATTTTCGAAACTACAGGTATATCTACATGTTCATATAAAGAAGGGGCCTCGAGACTTTTGTTAAACTAGATAAGACAGATGTAGGGCGACAAGTGTAAAAGAAGTACCGGTAACAAAAGTTTGTTTCAGAGTAGGCCAAAACACTTGTGTATGATGAACTAAAAACCACTGAACAAGCCCCGTTTAAAACGGTCTGAATTTGCTGCATCTTTGCAAAACTAAAACAAGAGAATTGGCATCTACAGTTTATTTTGTGGGGTTTAACTGCGGGTGAAATGTGAATATGGCTGCTGGGAGAAATACACAAGCCAGGCCATAGTTGACTACCACAGAGCAGAACACTGCTCCCCAGAGGTCAGCCTGACTTTGCCTAGCCCTCCCGCTGACCATAATATTTCTAGAGCAGGGAGTGAGAGAAAAAAAGAAAACTTATCCCACATCCCTGCAGTTATGAGTGGTCTGACAGATACAGTTTATCAAGAAGTGTGAAAGAATTTTTTTTTACTGTAAAACACATCAACGATCAGTCTCTGCATTACTTCACAGCCCCCCTAGTGGCTGATTCCTGTCTGATGGCTCTTCCTGTCATAAAAGCTGATTTGCAGTTTAACACCAGATTTTTTTAATACTGAGGCAAAAGATACACAACTACTCATCTTCATCATTGAAGGAAAATGTATTGTTTTGTCTGTAAATACCATTTTGTTTAAGTCATAAGGGAAATTATCCCTATGAGCATAAGTTACTAAAAATTGTTAAATTGTTCAGTGATGTTCTTTTTACAGCAAAAACTGGCATTTTGAAAAAATAAAAACTTTTCAGGGAGGCAGGCTTTAAAATGTAAATATCTGGACTTATTTACAGAGCATTTTTATTTTTAAATGTTTTAAAAAAAATCCCTTTAAAAACAAATGTCTTTACGTTTGCCACAGTAGGACGTTGTAAGAAAAATTTTAAACTAAGTTGACCGAGTAAAGATTGCAAATATCAGTAAATATTTAGTTTTTGGAACAAATAAAGAATGTTTTTCTTTTTAGATTTTTTTTAGCTTTATTGTTTATCTTTCATCCATGTCGTGTTTGTGTAAGGGTGTATGTAATGTGAAATCACGAGTGCACTGTTTAATACAACTTGTAGCCTAAAGCAAGTCATATATTTTAATCATAACTATATTTTTAAGCACGATTTACTGTTGTAAAATCTTTAATAAAACATATACTTTGAGGGGAAAACGTTTCAATGTATGAAAACAATCTATTCTAGTAAAAATAAGTACTTATTTAACTTTTTAAAAATAAAACATTGTGTGACTAATTTTTCTTTCTTCCTGTGAGAGTTTCTTGGCCACAGTTAAAATAAAGTGTCTTTCATAATGCCCATGGTGTCTTCCTCTGAATGAAGCTTCTGCTGTGAAATCATCAGTGTGAGAAGATGCATGTCCTACAGAGAAGCTAACAGCAGCAGGTGAATGCAGTGAACGAACTGTGTGTAATAATGAACTGCATCTTAAAGACTAACGCACCTTTTTCTGGTCTTTCTTCAGCTGCTTCTGCAACGTCCCGTTCTTGCTCTCGCAGTGTTTTTTCTTCTCATGCAATTCCACATCCTGCAGGTCCAGTTGGGTGAACTTTTGTTTATGGCTCTCAATGTACTTGATGATCTTATTTTGTTTTCTAGCAAAGGCACCAGAAATTATTGAGGTAAATTCAAGCCAGTCAGAAAAATTACATAAAAAAAAAAAAAAAAAAAAAAAAAAAAAAAAAAAAAAAACATTTTCTGGATACACCTTTTTAAAAAAATATATATAATCATTTGTGACATTCTTTAAAGGCTCATTAAGTAAAAACACATCTAGAAATTTTTAATACAAGAAGTCCATACACCAATGCTAGGTCACAATGTGTATTTATACAATCACATATTTTAACCCTTTTTCTAAAAGTGTAGAGAACGCAACAACTACGATTATTTCAATAGTAAAAAGCTGGTACCTAAGAAAACGTAACATTTGTTGTGAAATAAAAAAGGTTGAAGATTTCTTACTTCTCGACATTTTTGCGCTCTTGGTCCAATTTTTCCATTTCTTGTGAGATCTTTGCCGTTTTTTCAGTGAGTTCCTTAGTTTCCTCCAAAATCTTCTGCTTTTCCTGCTCTTTTTCCACCACACATTTCTGTAGATCATGACTGATAAATAGATACAAAATGTTCAATAAAACAACAATAAAAGACATAAATCATCTACTAATCATTTTAAAGGGTTTTAAAGGTGAAGGGCACTGAAGCACGCCGTGTTGTTCCGTGTACCTTTTTAACCGTGATTATTTTTCTGTTCAGAGTAGAAATAAGATAAAGGTGTACTCACGCATTATGTTGATAAAGGTGACTCTTGTGTTTAAAGATATCATTCTCCAGCATTAGAAACTTCACAGCTTTGTTTTTTTCTCCTTCCAAAGCATTTTTTTCCTTTTCCACTAGCTTCACTCTATTTAGCTGGGACAGTAAAAAGAAACAGTATTTAATATCTGACCAAAAAGTTTATTGTGCAACAAACTAATAAAAGAAGAAAAGAAATAAATCTTTGAAGGACAGTAAAGTTGACATAAATTAAGCCTCATTCACAACAATCAGGCAGAGTGCCAGTAAATATCTGACAAAAGGCCAAGTCAATCAGTCTTTTCTTACAAAGTTTATGAAAATTAAAAATAAAAAAATAAATAAAAAACCTAAACCAAAATCAACCTTTAAGCCATCTTTATATCTAAAGCAAAATTAAGTGAAGGCACAGGAAAGAAGCTGTGTGAGCAGATGGTGTGTTGTCACCTTCTCTCCTCTCTGCTCATTGAGAAGCTCAATGCGGCGAGACAGAACTTGGATCGGCTCCTTGAGTCGACAGGAACCAATGATGTCCTCCAAGAACTCCAGCATCCCTTCATCGTGCTCCGTTTGACCTTTAGGCTTCATCATGGCAATCTGCTCCACCTCACCCTGGGCACAAGCCAGAAGAGTTCATTGGCAAAGTATTCATGAACTCATTTACAGAAAGAAAAGCAAAGATAACACTGACAACTTAACAACAAACCAAAACATCCAGCAAAGCTTCCTGTGCAATATAATTTTTTTTTTTTTTTTCATTTAGCCTTTATTTATCCAGGTTAGTCTCATTGAGCCACGAGAACTCATTTTCAAGAGAGACCTGTTTTAGGGAGCACATAGTGGGGGTTAAGGACCTTGCTCATGGGGCGAATGAGGGTGGGGGCAAGTGTGGGTGTTTCACCTACCCCACCCACAATTTTTGATGTTGTCGGGGCCGGGGCGTGAACCGGCGATCTTCAGATCACAAGCCCACCTCTCTAACCTCTGCGCCACCACTCCCCGTAGTAGATAATAATCTACCACACAAGAGTTTGCCTTCTGAGAATAGATTTTTCTAATTCGTAGTTTAAATAAAATAAAGCCAATGAAGGATGACACATTTTGTGGGAATAAATACATGATTGTACAGATTGAACAAGCTTTTAAAAAAATAAATAAAATAAAAAGTTTTTAAAACAAATATATTTGTATTGTAAATTTTGAGATATTTAACTAAAAACAAGGTTTGAATTTCCTAACAATGGACACATCTAAAGTTTAAACCTGTGAACAGGTCATTTTTATTTAAACATTTTAGCAAACCAATTACTAGATAAAACTATTCAGTTAAGCACAAATGTAAAAATTTAAAGTTTCAATTAGGTTAAACCGTGAGGAAGTTTAAATTAACTTTTATGCGTGACAGAAAAAAAAGAAGCTTAAGAAGCAGGAGGGATGAATCCTTGATGTCCCTCAAGCTCGATGGAGTACAAATTAGACATTACCTCTTTACAGCATGCCTGGAAAACTGACAGGACTTTGAAGAACAAGCTCAAGCCCTTTCCCCATATGACAGAAACATTGAAGAGGAATGAAAATAAAAAGTACTTAAGCTTGCTATTGAACTGAAACCAACCCAAAAATAAATAAATAGCCTCTCAGAACTGGGACAAAATTTAAACCATCCGTTTAGCTCTGCTCTGACAAGTCATCGCCCCATATGCGTTGAGTTAATCAGTAATAATGGGGATGCCAGATGTAACAGACTCAGCTGGGGTAGGAATGAACAAGTAAACCGGTTCAAACTCAGTGCAAAGCAATGCTACACGATGGTGGAAAATAAATGATCAAACAAGCAAATAATGATAATAAAAATAAATAAAATGCATCTTAACATTGAGGAAAACAAATTAAACTAACAAAGCCATGGTAATGGAGGGTGTTTGATCCAGCCACACTGAAGCAGCACTGCCAATATTGGGGTTGGGGTCTATTGTCACACGCCAATATTTACGTGCTGCTAAAGCGTGGCGGGTACATGGAAAAGGAAGAAGTCCAACCTGTCCTCAGAGTCTTCCCCACAACAAAAATCTAGGCGAGTCGTTCAGACTTTCCCGTGAAATGGTAAAAACGCATGTCTTCCTTAAAATCCTAAAGCAGCAAATAATGGTTCGCACCATTTCCACACTGTTTCAAACCATGATGCGCTGCTATAGCAGTCTAAGGGCTGGCAGAGCACACATCCTCTCCTCTCCCGTACCAGTGCAGCAGGTTACTTCCCTCATCCAGGCCTGGCTTAAAGGTATATTTGAAACACTTGACTGAGAGGAGAGGGAAATGGGAAGAGTGAAGAGCAGGAAATCTTTGACAGAATGGGATGGTTAAAGGAGGAATAATAACAATAAAAATAAAACGTTAAAAGTGGAAGAGGAAATTGCATTTACCTGTAAGATCAGAAATCTGTTGTGGTCTAGGTCAATACCATGGCTTCGGAGTAAAGCCCCCACCTCTTTGAATGTGGCTTTCTTGCCACTGATAAAGTAGGCTGAGGAATTGTCTTTGTTGGCAGTCCTGGAAACGTAGAACTTGCTGTTGGGGATGACTTCGTAGTCATCTCCTTCCTGCCTCGGTGGGGTGTGTATGTGTGTGTGTGTGTGGGGGGGGGAGACACAGGAGCAGGACACAACAGTTTAGGAGAGGTCCAAACAGATCCACACATCAGACTGAAACATTCAGAACACCGAGTGCTCAAAAGTATTAAAATACATTTTTTTGAGGACAATTTACTTTGTTTGATTACAAACACCACAAAAATTTAGGCCACTTACTGGAAAGCCCTTAAAAATAAATAAATAAATACATAAGTGTGCTCTAATACACTAAACTGAAAGAAATAATTAAAAAAAGACAAATAATATGACCTCATGACTTTTTAACACGCCTAAAATGATTTAAGTTTTTCAGTTAAAGTGCACACCACTTTATTTTTGTATACCCTGCAAAGATAAGCTACAACATTATGTGCAATAAATTTTAACAACATAAATTAAATTGCAAAGATGAAGCAAACAGAATATTTTTTAAAAGCAGTCATCGTTAAAGAGTTACACTCCTTGTGGCATGATAAATATAAAATACAGAAATGCTTGATTGCTTTATTGATAATTAGCAAAGCTAAGCACATACAATGTTTTACTTAATACAGAAACTTAATGTGTTGATTTTGTTAGGTAGTCTTATCAAATAGTTTATATATAATATATATATATATATATATATATATATTTAAAATAATGGGATCTATGCCATTCTAGCGCAAGATAAATTGAATTTAGCATGTGTGGGTGTCAAGAGCAACTTTCACGACTGATTTGAGTCTGCGTTTAGTCACGGATGTTTCAAATGAGTAGCAATACCATTATATGAAAGCTGATTCAACAATATAATTATTCAACAATAATTTTGTCAAAAAGAAAAATTCTAACAGTGGCTTTACATTTGGACTGAACATTGAAAAGGTACTTGGAGCATCTTGCTTTTCAGTAGCAGAAATATAAATACCTTGTCAATAATCTTTTGAAAATGCACCTCCACACAGCAGCTTTGCACATCCTTGTGTTTATCAGAGCTGTGGATCAGCACTGAGAGCTTTTTTGATCTGATCTTTTGAGCTCTGTAGCCAAACACAAAGAGCATTGAGTCTATCACATTGGACTTTCCACTTCCATTGGGACCAATGATGCAGGAAAATCGCTGGGAGGCAGGCATGAAAGAAAACAAAATACATGAATCACTTGTATGAATACACACATCATTACATACAAATAACAGGACTTCTAAAGTCACAAGATAATTTTAACCCAATAAATCTGTGGGTGGGAAGAAATTCCCCAAGAGTGTATTGAAGTTTAAAATAGAGGTGGACAGACATGTTTTTATGGACAAAAACAATCTTTAGAAATCATGGCAGCCAAAAGCTGATATAAAACACTGATTTTTTTGTGCCAATACTTATTTTTCAATTTTCAAAAAATAAAACTCTTAACAAAAATGAACGCAGACTTACCCCCAGAACATGCACACTTAAAAATAACAGACTAATAGCAGTTAAAAAACTAAATCGAAAACTTAAATTCCCTTTTAAATTAACAGGTATGCACAGACGTGGTTGACTAATTTACCAATAATTAAAAAAGTGAACAATATGAAAAGATTAAACTCTAGTTAAAATATATTTGTAGTGAGAGAACTGTGAAAAGTCAGAAATTTAAATAAATTCATAATAAAAGGAAATGTAGGCACATCAATAAATTACACAAGTTGAAAGAGCAAATCAAAATGGAGGACTGTAACTTTGCACCGATGTTTATAAGTCACCATTATTATTAATTATTTTTGTTTGAATCCATCCTAGTGCAGAAGTTAGGATGCATGCAGTAAGAATGTAGAAAACAAAGACAAAGTAAGGTGAAGGCACACAACCAGTGGCTGCAAAATCTAATTTCCTCCCAGCAGAAGTAATCTCCAGGCAGACTATGACGTACCTTGTGGAAAGGCCCCAGAATCTGCTCGCCTGCGTACGACTTGAAGTTGCGATTGACTAAATGTGTGATCATGAGGCGGGGAGCGCCCGGTTCATTGGTCATTGCTGGGGGCGGGGGTGGAGGGATGCTGCCGAGAATCTCCTCCAAACTTCGGTTATCAACTGCCTCGGCAGCCTCCCCCAGAGACGGATCTGTGGTGCACAAAACAACAACAACAAAAAGTGCAACTTTTATTCTTCTGCTCGTGTCCTTTCAGGTGGTGGTGGTGGGGGATGCATGGGGGAGGGGTAGACGCACACACTTAAAAAAAAACCACGCACACAAACAAAACATTCAAACGTCTCCTTAAGAAAGTTGTCATTTTTCTTTGTTCTGCCACGAGCCAACATGAACTGTTACACACACACAGGAGATGCCTCACTTTGTCAGTAAATAAAGTGCACGCCTCGATCTACAACGGCCCCGTTTCACTCAGCAGCAAAGCTCAGACTGTAAGCAACAATAAAAAAACAAATAAAGCTGCTAAACCGTGTTGCATGGTAACAACACGGTTCTGTTGCCTTCAAGAACCTGTTCAAAACCTATTGTGCTCACATGCAGCCACAAACAAGCGCAGTTCAACACGTCATAAAGCATCAACTAGTTATAGAGTTGTAATAAAATTATTTACATCATCCTTTAAAAACAATTTACCTGAGTTGACGGGCATACGGGAAAGCAGTGCGTTCTTAAAATGTTTTTTTTTTTATTGTATGGATGACCAAAAATAAAATAACTCAGTCATTCTGTGCTCGGATTATGGCAAAAATCAAAAAGAAAGCGGAGGCAAGTGGCCTCTACAACACACGCACAACTTATTTAGATCTAGACACCAAAACAGGCTTTTGTTACTCGCCAGCTGCTGTCGGTGGTGCCTCCTCTTGTTGGCCATTGGACCTGGGTTCTGGAGGGGGTACATCCCGCTCGTCCTCCGAGTCCTCCCGAGGCTTGGTGGAGCGTTTCGCAGTTTTAGATGGCATGGTTTAAAATATGAAGGGGTCACTGGAGGAAAAAAAAAAAAAAAGAGGGGGATATCCTTGAGTGGTTTCTGTGCCTGTCAATCTATACAAAAAAATAAAATAAAATAAAAAAATAACTCCACTTAGTCGCAGCTTACACTTTCTATCATTTACAAGCAGATCTCCCTGCCGCTCCTTCAGCTTACTGCCACGATCCGGCATGATTTCCTCTAAGCAAACACTAGTTAAAACAATAAAAAGGGAGGGGGTGGGGGTGCTGCAGCGCTATTATTATGCGTCCATTTATGCAAACTTCACTTAATCTGCTTTACAATTAAAAATAGAATCCACTTTGGAATTAAAAAAAAAAAGCCAGCACGCGAATAAAACAACGTAACGATCGTAAAAACGAACAAAAATAAGTTGCAAAAAAAACCAACAAAAATACAGTTAATATGCAAATGAGTTGAATTTTCAGCCCTCCCCAGCGATTAGCCTTAGCCATGTTGCAAAGCCACGCAGCAAGAAAAAAAAAAAGAAGAAAAAAAAAAGTACGGGTTCAAACTGACAGTAATATCAGCTTTCCATCCTGGGAGCTCCTGTGTTGGTGATAAACCGAGTAACCTACTAACTCGCTGGTTAAGTTTCCTTCAAATAAACTGAGAAGAGCTAACTGCAAAGTCGTGTTTATTTGCACAATACAATGGAAATAAAGATGAAAAGTTCCACTTCCTTATAGTTTGTACAGCCTTTCTATATAAAACGTAACGTAAAGCAAAAAATCATGGAAATAAATAGTTTTTGTTCCCCACGGTTGCTGGCGTTAAATTTTGGTTTATCACGATTAACCGCACGTTTTAGCTTGGAACTAACGCATGTGAATTTCAGCAATTAGACGGCGCCCCAGTGGACTTTTCTCCGTTGAAATTCGTGTACCTTCCAACAAAAGTCGACGCCGTCAGTCAGAAGTCCTCCTTTTCTGTTCAAGATCGCTATTTCCAAAAACAAGGCGTCGAGAAATCCTAAGTTTGGCGAATGTAATCCATAAAGTTCAACGTTGTCTTATTGCGTGTCGTTTTCCACCCCGACTTGAAAACTCTATCTTGTAAATGGCGCCTAAACTGCGCCGTCGAACCAAATTCGTTACAAACTGACGCAAGGCACCATGGATCGTTCAAAGGGCAAGGCAAGAAAAAAAAAATTCAAAAAAGGGGACGAAGCCAACTCCGCCTCTTTCCACATCTACAGAGCGGAATAAGGAAAACGAGGCGAATAATTAAATACATACATTATAATTACATTCGATACATAAACTTTAGTGTACGGCTAATCGCTAATGTAAGATTTAAAACTTTTTGCGGCTTTTTTTAATGTTCAAACTGTTGCTTAGTTACGGTTGAACGCAGACCCCACCCCTTCGTGGAGTCGCTTGTAATATAAAATACGATCAAGTTCGCTGGATCGGCGAATAATGTAAGCTTCACGTCCGATTTAATTGAAGCATTTAAGTGCATTCATTCATTAAACTTATAACTTATTTGTCTCAAGATAGGTTTGAAAGTCGGGGAAAACGAGATTTGCAAATATCGCGATAACATTAACATCTCGCGCTTTCCTCCGTGCTATGCTACTAAAAGTTAGCCTGAACAAAAGTGAGCGATTGAGGATGATATGGAAGATTTGTACTGCGTGTGTGACATATATGAAGCTATGAAGCGCAGGTTGCCCCATATTAAACTCAGTAAGCGGCAGAATGGTGCTCTTCCTGTCTCTCAGCATCCAGGCTACACAGGCATGACTTCTGCGGAGGATTCGTGATAGCAACGTTGACAGCTACCTTAGCAACTGCTGAGTGTTTCCTCCCTCACGGTTAAAGAAGGACAAACAAACGGCTGCTCCGCCTTCTACACTCGGTGTGTTTATGGTTTTGTTATCGTACTGTTTTTCTGTTCATGTTTTATATGTGCTTATTCAGTGTATGATGTCTTAACATTTTGTTTGTTTGTTTAGGATACAACTGACAGCAAACATGAGACTGAAAACATCGCTGCTAAAGGAACCCAAACATATCCTTTGTCTTGTTTAATTACAAGTAAAACTCATATTTAAAAACAACTACTTTAACAAAATATTTTTTTTTCCTTTTTTCATGTAAAACATATAAAAATAGAATTACATATTAAGCCATGGTTTTGTAAGCAGCATGTTTGTTGAGCAGCTGTAAGGAATGCAAGAATGTAACACGATTATAGTAGTCCCTCGATTATCACGGGGGTTATGTTCCATACACCCCCGCGACAAAGTAGGAACGCTATATTTATTTTAGTATTTATATATTTTAAGGCTTTATAAACCCTTCCCACGTTCTTGCGACTTTCTAAACTCCTAAACCTACGTAATTTTAACAACATACGTACATGTACTGCACACTAGCTACTGTAAAATTTTATACGGGTACTCACCAGCCTTGGTCTCGTTCTGGTCCAGTTCTGATTGGCTCTCTGCAGCTGCTGAGCACCAGACGCTTTTGGAGAAAACCACACCTTCAGAGATTCAGCACAAAACCACACAAGGGTCCCGATTGAGTCCAAATAATCTAGAGGGATCTGGATGAAAAATGTCTGGATGGGCTCCGGAGAAGACCCTGGACCTCCAAGCAACGCCTCCCCGCTTGAGAGGCTTCATGGGCCGGCAAGCAGCACTCAAATTGTCCGATGAATTGACCTATGAAAGTAGTTCTGGTCCGGTTCTGATCGGCTCTCTGCATCCACTGAGCGCCGAAGTCACTATGAATAAGGATTGAACTTTTCAGTCAGGTTCAGATCGGATCAAAACTTTCCTTCCATTTTAGCAGAAAGCAGTGGCCGGAAGCACTGTTGGCTTCTGGGTAATGTAGTTTTTTTTGGACTGGCATTACAGTATAGGTTTATTGAAAGAAAACTACAAAAAGGCGGCATCTGTCTGAAGTTTTTTTCATTAACTTTTTACCCTGTACCGTCCCAATCACGTGAGTGATATTTAAATTGACAATCACTGAAAAATCGCGAAAGAGCAAGTCCGCCAACCACGAAGTAGCGAGGGACTACTAATTATTAATATTAAAGTGCCTGTGACACAGAACTTTAGTGATAAATGTGACTGCATTTTTTGAAAGACAACATTAATAAATTACCCCAAAACATTAACGCTTCTAAGATGAACAGTTTTGACATATACAAGCTTTTGTGCATGCACAGTAACAAGAAATGGAAACAAGAAGTGACAACAAAAAGGAACACTTGTACATTAACAGAATGCTACAATGGCTAACGACACGGACAGTGGAGAAGAATCTGATGTTTCTTTATTTGGGTGCCTATCAGAAAGAGACAAAGAAGAGTCAAAAGTTTGTGTAAACAAAGATCAGGAAGTTCCCCTTGGTCGTCACTTCCTGTGGCTCTTTGGCTGCGCCAAGTTCAAAACAAATGTGTACCAGTTATGTGACAAACGAGTAAAATTGTGTATTATGCAAAATTTCTGAAATATTAAGTTTTCTTCCAATTTTTGTATATTTAGGAAATGCATGTCACATACACTTAAAGGCATAGCATCCCTTGAAAGAATGCATATCACCCTAAATTTAGTTTTAAACATATCAAAGAATGCTGAAAAGGAACAGTGTTTTATCTGTTTTTGGTCATTTAGCTGTGGTGACCATCTTAAATTGGGTTGATTTCAAAAGGTAACCAGTTGTAAACAATCCCAAACAACATGATTGGAAGAACCATGATTGGAAGAACATCAGTGATTACTGTTAAATCTGTCCATCTGTTCATGAGATATTTTGCTTACAAGACAGACAGCGATCACACTTCATAGACAAATACATTATCACTCTTTTTTACCTTAGGTGGTAAGTGATGATAAAATATACAAAGTACAAGTATCTTTAAATTGTACGTTATTTAAAGCAGTTGACAAAATATAATTTAAAATCTAATCTGCACCATATCTGGAGTATATTACAGTAGCCATTTTTACAATCTGTTGAAATATTTTGGATTTTTCTTCTTTAACAACATTTCACATAGAGAACTCGTCAGTTGTGTAGGTTGGACCACAGCAGACGAGTTGTACTCGTGCAGTGAGGATCATCAGATCCTGAAGTGGAACCTGCTCACCAACGAGACCAGCCTGGTGGTCAGACTACCAGAGGACATTTACCCCGTTGATCTACACTGGTTCCCCAAAACTGTTGGTGGCAAGAAACAGAGCCAGGCTGAGATTTTTGTCCTTACCAGCACAGACGGTGAGTCTCCATATTCTCTAAAACCTGACCTGCTATAGAACTTTATTTCCAAAAGTTAACCCACAAGGGCCTGTTTTCAGTCATACCTGTAAACCAAAATTCAATTTGTGAAATAAATTGTCTGAAATAAGTTAATTCAAGAGCTGTTTTTTTTTTTGAGTATTTTGATTATGCATGCTCTTGTTTTTCACAAATCATATCACCCAAAAATAATTTTTGTTTAAATTCTTGTGCTACTAAACCTTGTTTACTGTGTGTGACATGTAGCTACGTACATAGGCTCTCATACCTTTTCTTCATCATATATTAGAGATGAATTGTATGGATGCACTTTTGTGGCAGCAGATGTGTGGTCACATCTTTAATGGCGCGTAGGCTTGCAAAAACACACCCGCAAACTGAAGCAGCAATTTTCCCTGACAGAGACCAGAGATCAGTAAATATCCTGCTCCTTTTGCATCTTTCTTCTGCTTCTTGTCATATTGCAGTTGAAAAAAATATCAGTTGCTCAAAGCACAAGAGAAACTTAAGTGTGACAATATGCTTATCGCCACTGCCTTTTATGACAGAGTTTTATAAAAAGATCCTCTTGTTCTGAGAAATTATGGAGTTATAGCCATTTCATACCATTATGTTCAATCTCCTGTGATGTCTGGAGGGGTCTGTTAGCGTTTGGAGGATGTGTCAATCACATTCAGCTACAGCCACTCCAAATTTTAGCTCTATATATGTATACCTCATTATGTTAGTATTTTATTTTATTATTTTGATTAAAGACAGTGTCAGAGCTAAGAGTTTTGTCATTTTACCAGGAAGAATATAGTGGAAATAGCAGAGCAGCCTAAAATAGTATTTTTTTCTTTTGTAAAGCAATCAATAAATATCTCATTGACATATGTTGGAATCTATCTAAAGTAATAAAAGGAGTTGTATAATGCTAAATTAGTTAATAAGAAAATATTTCTTCACTTGACACGCAAACAAATCATCAGTTCCTATAAGTTGAACAGTTTAACTCAGTGCAGTATTTCTTTAAAATAATCCAAATCACATTAAAAATCTTAAATTCAAGCCACCTTTCTTTTTATAGAAGTGACTTAATTTAGCTGCACGTAACTGTTATGCTACCTGCTGGATCAGTAACATACACTTTTGTTGGGATGTCCAAATTTAGAAATGGGAGAGCAGCAGCGGGTGATTTGCAATTACAGGCTGCCAGAAATTATACAGAACATTTAGAATTTTTAATACACGCTGCCACAAAGTATATGTTGGGCAGGCGTCTTCAGTACACGTCTCCATGCTTAATCACTCCTTCAAGTTTGGCAAATAGAAAATTAATTTCAACAACATAACCCTTACAGTTTTTCATCGACTTCGTGTGTTGGCTTTTTATTTTAGCTGATGGGGAACTGTAGCTTAGTTGCTAAACACATGTCATGGAAGTTATGGTTTTTGTCCTTTTATTTCTCATAAGATTCATTTTTAAGTTTGAACATTTTTTTATCTGATCTGGCCATAAACTCCTTGAACTTTTAGCATTAAGCAGCAACTCAATTTACACACACTTGTTTAACTCTGCAGTCACTTTGAGTTAAAAAGTACAGCTTTAGAACCCGTTGAATTACACCACTGTCTATTTTTGATTAAACACTTGAGGTATACATTGTATAAATTGTAAAAAAAAAATAAAAAAAAATAAAAGGCTGTATGCTTTTATTGTTTTTATTTAAAGGGAAGTTTCACCTGGTCTCCAAGATGGGGCGCATTGAAAAGAGTGTTGAGGCACACAAAGGTGCCGTTCTGGCTGGAAAATGGAACTATGATGGAACTGCTCTTATTACTGGTAAGGATGTTAAAAAAACAATAAAATCTTTATTTATTTATTTTACTCAGGCTTTGTTTTTTTAATAGTAAAATGATAAGTTACAGATATCATTTGTTTTTAATATCCTCTTTTTGTCTCTGATTACCTAGCCGGGGAAGATGGACAGATTAAAATCTGGTCAAAAAGTGGGATGCTGCGCTCAACATTGGCCAGCCAGGGTAAGGCTAAAATCTCTAGCTTTATTTATTTTTTCAAAGCAATATAACACATGGATTATTAACGCATGTGTAAACCTACTCAATGTAATTTTAGATAGTTATAATTCAGTAGAAAAATAAAATGGTACTAAATCAGTCATTATCACTCAGTGCAACAAGCACTTTTCTTGTACTTGGTCAGTTATGATCGCCTCTGCCCTTTTTGTTTTTAAAACTAAAGAAAGTCCACGCTAAATGTAGAAGAAAAAAAAACTATTTAGAAAAAGCTGGAAAATGTAAATTAAAAAATATATATATATATCTAAAAAAACATGGGATGGGACAACAAGACTGTAAAAGTAAGTAGTTTGAATAAAAAACAACTGGAGGAGCATTTAGCAACTAATTAGGTTAATTGGCATCAGGTCAGTCTGGGTATAAAAAGAGCAAGGTAAAGAGGCCTCAGAAGTAAAAATGGGCAGAGGTTCACCAGTCTGTCATAAACTGTCTCAAAAAACAAACAAAAAAAAAATCAGAATATTCAGTTCATCTTGATGCATGCTCAATAATCCAGGTAGAAAAATCCACCATCCAGCCATCAGTGTGCTAATGACCCATTGTTAGGCTGATGGTCCTTCTTGAGCATGTGATCAGCTGGTTTTGGTTGTCAGCAGCAAACTGGTTGATCCACTCTAAGAAGATGCTATTTAAGAGACTGAGCTGAAAACAACACCTCAGACTGAGGAAGTCTCTTGGATGAGAGACGAAACGTTTCTAGAATTTTTTTTGCTTTGTTTTGCTTTTGTTTTTTTTGAATGTCCAGAGGACCAGATTGAACTTTTTTGGAATATTCAGTTCAGTTCAGTTTATATAGCGCCAAGTCACAAAATAAGTTGTCTCAGGGTACTGTACAAAAACATTCACATACATATAAACAAAAAAAGTGCCAATCAGTAAAAGTTCTCTATCTAAAGAAACCAGCAGATTGCGTTGAATCTTCTCTTCATCACAGTCTCCCATCCTGAGCAAGCACATTGGCAACAGTGGAAAGGAAAAATTCCTTTTTAACAGGAAGAAACCTCCAGCAGAACCAGGCTCAGGACGAGCGGCCTTCTGCTTTGACCGGCTGGGTTTGAGAGGAACAAGAAGGAGAAACAGAGTGGCAGGTCCAGGTGTACTTTCTATTGGAAAGAGAATAGTGTTCCTTAAAGAAAAAAATGTAAAGATTTTGAACATCCCACTATGTACAGTTTATAACGTTATCAAAAGATTTCAAGAATCTGGAGAAATATCTGCGCACAAAGGACAAAACTGATAATACTGGATGCTTGTGATCTTCAGACCCTCACTGCATTAAAATGGGTCTGATTCTGTTCTGACACTGCATGGCTCAGTAACACTTCCTGAAGTCATTATCTGTAAACACAGTTCACTTTACCATCCACACACAAATACAATTTAAAGCTTTATCATGCAAAAAGAAAGCCGTAAGTGAACACCATCCAGAATATCTGCCATCTTCTCAAAGCTAATTTAAAATGGACAAAGGGGAAAACTGTTCTGTGATCAGGTGATTCAAAGTTTGAAATTGTTTTTGGAAACCACAGACACCACATCCTCCTTACTATAGAGGAGAGGAACCGTCCGCCTGTTATCCCACCTGTTATCAGCATTCCGTTCAAAAGCCTGCCTCTCTGGTGGTATGGGGGGTGCATTAGTGTCTATGGCATGAGTAGCTAACACATCTGGAAAGACACCATCAATGCATTAAAGTTCATACAGTTTTAGAACAACATCCAGGCAATGTATTTTTCCGGGAATGCTTTGGATATTTCAGCAAGACCATGCTAAATCTCATACTGCATCCATTACATCAGCATGACTTAACAGTAGAAGAGTCCAAGTGCTGAACTGGTCTCACCAGTAGTCCCTCGCTACTTCAAGGTTTGACTTTCGTGGGCTCCCTTTTTCGCATTTTTTCAACGATTGTCAACTTTAATATTACTCACATGATTAGGAAGGTACAGGATAAAAAGTTAATGAAAAAATACTTTGGACAGACACCGCCATTTTGTAGTTTTATTTCAATAAGCCTACACTGCTTTGCCAGTCAAAAGAACTACACTACCCAGAAGCCAACAGTGCTTCCGGCCACTGCTTTCTGCTGAAATGGAGGGATAGTTTCACAGCGCAAATCTACACTATCTATGAAGCTCACAGAACTGGCAGGAAAGTCGCCGATAATCCTGAAGCTCAATTATCCACGCGCACATCAACCTAGACAGGGCGGTGTGCTTCGTCGCTGCAGAGTAGGTCTGCAGAACTGGAACCGAGCCCAACTGGAACCGAGCTGCTCTTCTGCAGAGCTGGTGAGTAAAATTTTGCAGTACCGTACAGTACATATACGTATGTTGTTAAAATGGCATAGGTGTAAGACTTTAGAACATTGCAAGAGTGTAGGATGGGTTTATAAAGCCTTAAAATAAATAAATATTAAAATAAATATGGCGTTCCTACTTGGCGGTTTTTCATCTATCATGGTGGCGTTTGAAACGCAACCCACGCGATAATCGAGGGACTACTGTATCATTAAACAGAATATCCAGCAAAGCAGACCCAGGATTGTTGGACAGCTAGAATCCTACATCATTCAAGAATGGGACAGTGTTCCCCTCCAAAAACACTGGCCACTCGTTTCCTCAGTTCCTACATGTGGTTCCTAAAGAAGTGAAACTTAAACAGGTCATTTTGCTTCCAGAGGAGTAAAAACAAACGGGGTTAAATTCAAGAGCTTAACGTTAACGGGGTTAAATTTAAGAGCTTAACGTAATCAACGTTAGATTAACTACAGGTGGGTTTGAAGGAGATTTTTATGTGCACCTGGTTTTTGTTTTCTTATTACTGGTACAGCTGCAACATTAGATACTGCATTTCCATTTTTACACACTGAACTATCTACATATTAATTTAAAGAGACAATCAAAAAAGAAAGCCCCCCCTCCCCCCCGTGTGGCAAATATAATTATAAACAAATGGTGTGTGTTGGGTCTGTTAGGATTTATTTGTGGTTAGTGAAAGAAAAGCTGTTCACGTTCTATGGATTTTCTTTAATAAAAGTGCCATAAAGTTTTAAAGTGGAGTTTCATTAAACGGTTTTATTAGAAGCCAAGAGAAATACTTGTAATGGTGTGCTTCTCTCCTCAGCATTCACATTACAGATGTCTTACTTTTTAATTGATTCATCATGTAGTTTGACCAGATTTTTTTTTTTCTCTGTTGTGAGACAAACGAGAAAGATAAAGAAAAAAGGGGAATGAAAACGTGCTTCTTGGGAAATGAATTGTACACCATTGATGAATGGCATGAGCTGTATAAAACTGGCAAGGCATCTAATATATAATATAATGGATTATTCATATGTGCTGTAAAGAGTACATGCAAGATGCTAGAGGTTGGGATCCTCAGAAGACTGGCAGATTTATAGGACACCTGCACGTGGTAGCATTGCTTTTTAGCTGCACACCATTCACCACATGACGCTCAGATCTCTGCAGGTGTTGCTTCTCCTCTGAACACACACACCCACACACAGAAGCACACACGCTCAGATTGCAGGAGCACACTGTTCTTTTTGGGTGCTGTGACCCATTTTAAGTCTAGGAAGAGGTTTGGAACGAATCGAAATGGAGGAAAGAGGAACTTGTCTCAACCCCTCTCATCGCTATCAATTGATTTAGATCACGTGATCAGTTGGCATTAGTGAGAAACCACACGCACCTGGAGTGAGGTTAAAAGTCAGCACCCCCTCCCCTTCACACGTGTGTAGCCACAGTTCAACTAAAACACACACACTCTCAGCCTGGTATTACTATCTATGGCTTATATAATGCTTTTCCTTGTTACCTTAACAATAAATATAATAACTACTGTCAATATATAATCCTCTAACCTAAAACTGAAATCCTAACTTTTGTTTAAGTTGCAGACTCTCTTCTGGTCCTCACAAATGAGACTTTGCAGCTTTAGAAAACAAGCCTGTACAAGTACTTTCTCTATAAAATGTGCACGTTTGGATACACACACGTGCACACACACATCATTTATGTGTAGTTGTACTGTACTGTTAAAGTCAGATGGATTTTCTCAGCTGATTTTCCTGTAAGCTAAGTGCTGTTACAGAGTCTGAATGAGATTTGCGAGGTGATCTGATACCTGCTGAGAAGAGCAGCTGGTTCTGCTGCAGCTAATGTTCACATCAAATTCTTGTTTGTGACCATGGGGACAGAGCGTCTTTGCAACATAGCATCATAAAATAATCAAAAAGTCAACGTGTGTGAAGCTCTGTTTCTTTTTCCTCACGTCTGTGAATGCTGATCCAGCATTAGCTACTGTTCTGCTACTTTTAGCTTTTAGCAAGCCTAATGCTATTTTTAACTTTTATTCTGCTACCATTCTGCTGTTTATTTTCCTTTTAGCTAGCCTTTTGCTCTCATTTACCTTCTTTTAGCGGACTATTTGCTACTTTTAGCTTTAAGCTACCATTCTGCTGTTTTCTTACTTTTAGCTAGCTTTTTGGCAATTTTAACTTTTAGCTAGACTTTTGCTAGTTTTAATTACCTGGTAATCCTATGCTTCTTTAGCTCTTAGCAAGACTTTTTCTAATTTTAGCTCACCTTTTGTGGCTTTTAGCTAGCTTTGTGCTACTTTTATCAAACTGTTTGTTGCTTTTAGCTAGCAGTTTGCTATTTTTTGCTTCTAGCTCTAATTTATTTACTGTATCTTGGGGTTTTTTTTGTTTGTTTTTTTACTTTTAGTTATAATTTTCGACTTTTAGCTAACAATCTGGTTCTTTTGTCTTTTAGCTAGTGTTCTGCTTTTTATCTTTAACTGTTCATTTTCATCTTCTTCAGTGACGTCACTCATCATCATTCATTTGTTTTCAGAGACAAAACAATTAGTCTAATATTATAATATGGGATTCTGTCTGTGTTTTTTCTGCTTTTCTTCCAGGGTCTCCTGTATATTCTGTGGCCTGGAGTCCAGACTCAGACAGAATACTTTACACATCAGGACAGCAACTTATTATCAAGCCCCTGCAACCCAGTGCTAAAATCATACAGGTTCAGTTTTTTCCACCTCCTTTAATTTAAAGATAACTTGTACAGGAAACAGTGAGCCTAATCTCAGAACACTCACGTTCATGTACACACAAGACCCAGGAAACATACTGTATATCACTTTTCTGATATGAAATTTTGGTCTCAGTGTACTTGTACTTACAATATGCGTTTAAAAATTGCTTCCTGTGCTGCACAGACAGCACAGCTGAACAGTGTAATTTCAGCTCTGACTTATTCTTATGTGCCTTAGTGTTGCTTATAGGACAGGAAAAAGTGACAATGAGCAATGTAGCAATCAACCCCAAGAGATCCCAATCACTCTTACTAATGAAGCCATCAAACAATAGTTGAAGAGTTGAGTTTAAGGGAAATAATTTTGTGAAGATTTGTTGGGATGGTCAGGTTTTTTTTTAACTTCTGTTTTGGTTGCACGAGGGCAAGGAGGTAAACAAGCTACTGCTGGCATATGAGTAGATAAGTCACTGTGTTTACTTGTGGCAGATTTACTTTATTAATGTTCTGAGAAAATTTAAACACCTAGTAACTCCTGGGGCTGTGACTAGTTAGTGAATAGCATTGGCAAAAGGGGTCGTCAAAATATCAAAATCCATCCATCCATTATCTTTCGCTTGGTACGAAGTTGGGTTGCTGGGGCAGCAGCCTGAGCAGGTTGTCCCAGACATCTCTTTCCACAGCCACCTCTTCCAGCTCTTCTGGAAGGACTCCAAGGTGTTCCCAGGCCAACCAAGAGACATAGTCTCTCCAGCGTGTCCTGGGTCTTCCTTGGGGTCTCCTCCCAGTCGGACATGCCTGAAGCACCTCCCTAGGAAGACACCCAGCGGGCATCCTTACCAGATGCCCGAACCACCTCAACTGGCTCCTCTTGATGTGGAGGAGCAGCGGTTCTACTCCGAGTCTCTCCTGGATAACTGAACTTCTCACCCTATCTCTAAAGGAGAGTTCAGCCACCCTGCAGAGGAAACTCATTTCAACCGCCTGTATCTGTGATCTCATTCTTTCTGTCACTACCCAGAGTTTATGACCATAGGCGAGGGTAGGAATGTAGACTGGTAAACGGAGAGCTTTGCCTTACAGCTTAGCTCCCTTTTCACCATAACGGACCGGCACAGAGTCTGTAATACTGCAGATGCTGCACCATTCCCTCTATCAATCTCATGCTCCATTCTTCCCTCACTCATGAACAAAATCCTGAGATACTTGAACTCCTCCACTTGAGGCAGAACCTCACCCTTGACCTGAAGAGAGTAATCCACCCTTTTCCAACTGAGGACCATGGCCTCAGATTTGGAGGTGCTGATTCTCATCCCAGCCGCTTCACACTCGGCTGTGAACTGCTCCAGTGAGAGCTGGAGATCACGGAATGTCATCTGCAAAGAACAGAGATGGAATTCTGAGGATACCGAACCAGAATCCCCACAACCCCTGGCTGCACCGAGAAATTTGGTCCATAAAAGTTGTGAACAGAATCTGTGACAATGGGCAGCCCTGGTGGAGTTCAACTTCCACCCTGAAGGGGTCTGACTTACTACCAGCAATGTCTTAAAATTTTTATTTTTATTTATTTTATTTTTTCTGGACAGGAAATTCTTTGGGGGTGGCACGGTGGCACAGTTGGTAGAGCTGCCGCCTCTCAGTGAGCAGGTTGTCCCAGTTCAAATCCCAGCCAGGGGCCTTTCTGAGTGGAGTTTGCATGTTCTCCCTGTGAATGTGTGGGTTTTCTCCAGGTACTCCGGTTTCCTCCCACAGACCAAAAACATGCATGTTAGGCTGATTGGTGACTTTAAATTGTTCCTTGGTGTGAGTGAGAGAGTGAATGGTTGTTTGTCTCATTTGTCTGTATGTGTCCCTGTGATGGACTGAGACATGTCCAAGGTGTACCCCGCCTCTCGCACAGTGATGGCTGGATATGGGCACCAGTGATCCTCGATGGATGGATAGATAGATGGATGGATGGGTGGATGGATGGATGGATGGAAATTTTTTTTAAAGAAAAATAAGCCATGATTTTCAAAAACTATTCACACAAAATGTGGCCGCACAGCTCGCTGCTCACTCGGTTTCAAACATTGAGTTTAGCGAGACTGCAACTAAAGATATTTCATATATTCTCACAATTTTCTCACAGTTTTGAGTTACCTGTTAGGTTCTAATAGTCAGAGCCCATTAAACTACTACCAGAACTTCTAGTTAATTAAAAATTATTCCTAATATCTTTTTAAAATAAAGTAACAGTGCGAGATAGTAGGAAGTGGACCCAAACACATACAAATGGTTGTGGAATGGATTAAACCCCCACAAAGATGCATTTAAAGAGGTCTTTTTACAAAATGCTATCTTCTACTTTCTTGAAAAGTGTGAAATTTGCTTAAGTTTGGTCTGGCTGGTGACAGCTTAAAATTTATCTTTCTGAAAATTAACATATCTTGTTCAGTGATTTTACATGAAATAACTTGGTTTGTTGTTTTGTCCACGTCATATCTAAACCTGTCTGAGCTGTGGCGTTACACTGCAGTTTGTTATTTAGCTTTATTGCTTAGAAGGCAGCTATTATTTCGCTGTGTGCCACATGTGAAAGCCAACATTCAGCTGTGCGATCCAGTGCATTTGTCCAATAATGGATTTGCAGGAACTTGAGTAGAGCTGTTGCCTTTTCTGTCCGTCTTTACTCTCTGCAGCCAGAAAACAAATAGACATGGTTCTTTACTGTGGCAAAGTTTCAGCCTCCATGATGGATCAGTAAATTAATGACTATACACACTCAGTACAAACATATTACTCTGTAGATGACCTTGTACACCGGTGAGCATTTCTCTTGTTCATGTATACATTTGTTTATTATTCCTCTTGGAGCTGAACAGCACCTGGGACCTTGCATAAACAGGGGAGGGTTTAATGTGAGCTTTGCTTTCTCTCAGCCATTACCAGACTCACTACTACAAGTGTGCACCAACGCTTACTTAAAAATGCAACTTTATCATTTTTCCCTCTCCCTCACACCTCCTTGGAGACTAACCAAGTGATGGAAATCACTTGTCCAGTCACTGACTGGAGACCCCTCTCTCATACTGGCAGTGTTTTACTCAGATAGAACTGCACATTTGCAGCTTTAACTCAGGCACATGGAGAAAACGACAATAGTTTAAAAACAATGAAAAGTCAAATGTTTGCATAGAATCACAACAGAAACAAGTTATGTCTAAAGGTCTAGGTTTCCTTGAAGGAGCGCAAGTAGCCCACCAACTTTTATGCCAGAGTTTAATCTTACGTGAAAAAATCACAAAGTTGTAGTCGTTTGGTTAAATCTTTTTTACTAGAGTCAAGTCCAATCTTAAATGTCAACTATCCTTGTGTTTATCCTGGTTAATTTTTACAGTTTGACTTTGGATTCAAGTCAAACCAGTTCATCAGTGATATCGATTTCTTTCCTTGAGTAAGAGTAAAACTTTATCGCGATATAAAGCTGAAGTTCTGTCTGTCCACCTGTCTGTCTGCAGTGGAAGGCTCACGATGGACTTGTTCTTAAGGTGGACTGGAACTCAGTCAACGACCTCATCTTGTCAGGTGGAGAAGACTGTAAATATAAGGTTTGTGCTTTTGCCTATACAATCCCATTATCAAAATAATTTGGTTTGCTGAACAGAACTCTGAAGTTTGGAAAAAAATGTTTGAAGTGATTTTTCTGTGTAAAATGAGTTTGTTAAATAAGCAGCATGAAATGAAACAACTCAAAAATACAAAGGCTATTTTCAACACCTTTAAAGGCTTTGTGATATAAAACTCCACCTTAGATAATGACACAGACCAGTGCTGTGATGCAAAGCAAACATAATCTCTTTTTAAGTGTGATGCAACCAGAGGAGGCGGGAACTCTTTAGGAGGTAAAATCTTAAAATAAATCTTACCACCCACCCCTAACAACCAAGTGAGTAAAGCTTCCTATTTTATCTTTACTAGCACTTCTACTCTGCTTCAACTCAGAATATCCTTGATGTAATTTGCTTCTGTTTTGGATCAAGTACACCAACAAAATCCCACAATTACAAAACAATCCTGATAGAGACAAATAATCCCCCCCAACCCACCCCCCAACTCCAATCCTGGGGAACTATTGTAAGAGAAGCCGTTGCTCCTGTCTTTCACATCAACCAAATGCGACACTTCAGACCTGGTATTTATATGTTCTTGGTAATCAAATCAAAAATGGACACCTCTGAGTTCAGTTCAGTTCAGTTCGATTCAGTTAATTATATAGCACCAAGTCACAACAGACGTCATCTCAGGGCACTGAACAGAAACATTCATATATATACGGACCCTTTCCAAAAAAATTTGAATATCATAGAAACGTTTAACTTCCATAATTCCATTCAAAAAGTTAATCTTTAATAGATGATAGATTCAGGGCCCACAATTTAAACAGTTTCAAGTATTTATTTGTTTATTTTTTACATAATTTGGGCTTCCAGCTCATGAAACTCACGAAAACAGGATTTAAAAAAATTAGAATACTGTGGAGAAATCAGCTCAAATTTTGCAGGGCATGAATGTTTTAAACTGAGTGTGACACACTAATCATCTACTAAACTCAAAGCACCTGCACAGGTTTCCCCAGGTGTCATTAAATTGCTTCAGTTTGTTCAATTGTTTCAGTTCGCTTCAATAAGGGAAAGACTGCAGACATGACAACTGGCCAGAAGACCATCATTGATACCCTCCATAGGATGGGTAAGCTGCAAAAGTTCATAGCTAAGGAGGCTGGCTGTTCACAGAGTGCTGTGTCCAAGCACATCAATGGAAGTAAGTGGAAGAGCAAAATGTGGCATGAAAAGATGCACCAGCAAAAGAGATGACCGTGGGCTTCAGCAGATTATCAAACAAAGAAGATTCCAGAATCTGGCAGAGATCCAGAAAGAGTGGGATGAGGCGGGAGTCACAGCTTCAAAAACCACCACATTCAGATGCGTCCGGGAGATGGGCTACAACTGTTGGGTTCCTCAGTCCTATTTTTCGATGAAAGTAAAGTGGAAATCAAGGTCCAAAGGTTTGGAGGAAGAAGGGTGAGGAACAGAGCCCATACTGCTTGAGGTCCAGTGTGAAATATTCAGTCAGTCGTGATTTGGAATGCAATGTCCGGTGCAGGTGTTTGTAAACTCTGCTTTCTTAAATCCAAGGTCACCGCAACAGTCTACCAGAATGTTTTAGAGGACTTCATGATTCCTTCTGCTGAGGATCTGTATGGAGATTCAGATTTCATCTTCCAGCAGGACCTGGCCCCTGCCCATGCCGCCAGAAGCACCAAAACCTGGTTTGATGTCCATGCCACAGTGTTGGACTGGCCAGCCAACTCGCCGGACCTAAACCCCATTGAGAATCTATGAGGTATTCTCAAGAGGAAACTGAGGGGCACCAGACCCAACAACAAAGAAGATCTGACAGCAAGCATCAAAGAAATCTGGGTTTCCATAACTCTCAGTCAATGGCACAGGATGATTGCCTCAATGCCACATCGCATCAAGGCAGTGATTCAGGCAAAGGGATTCCCAACCAAGTATTGAAGATTGACATATCGTTTTGAAAGTACCGTATTTTGATTTTCTTATGATCCTAATTTATTTCTTTTTTTCTGAAAAAACTGAGTAGTGTGGGCTGATTTCTTCACAGTATTCTAATTTTTTTGAAATCCTGTTTTCATGGGTTTCATGAGCTGGAAGCCCAAATTATGTAAAAATAAACAAATAAATACTTGAAATAGTTTAAACTGTGAGTCCTGAATCTATCATCTATTACAGTTTAACTTTTTGAATGGAATTATGGTAGTTAAACAACTTTTCCATGAAATTCTGATTTTTTGGAAAGGGTCTGTATGTGTATATATGTATGTATATATAAGTAAGTTAATAACACAATTGATCTGAGGAGCAGACTGCTTTGAGTCTAACTTCATCGCAGACTCTCATCTTGAGCAAGCATGAAGGCAACAGTGGAAAGGAAAAACTCCCTCATGAGGAAGAAACCTCCAGCAGAACCAGGCTCAGGACAAAAGGCCATCTGCTTCGACCGGCTGGGTTTGAGAGGAACAAGAAGGAGGAACAGATACACAATGGCAGGTCGAGAATCACACGTTAAGATAGAAATAGTATCAAATGAGAACTATTCAGTTGTAACAATTCATTTTAAGAAATTAGGTCAATTTGTCTTCCAGTAGTCTAAGTTTATAGCAGCATAACAAGCCATCCTTAACTATAGGATAAAAAAAAAAGGAAAGTCTTAAGCCCAGTCTTAAAATTGGACAATGTGTCATCCTTACGAACAGAAACTGGAAGTTGGTTTCACATGGGAAGAGCCTGATAACTGAAAGATCTTCCTCTCATTCTGCTTTTGGAAACTCTAGGAACCGCAAGTAAACCTGCAATCTGAGAGTGAAGTGCTTTTAGGAAAATATAGGACAATAAGTTCTGTAATATAAGATGGGACTAAGTTGTCGAGGGCTTTGTAGGTAAAGTGTTAGGTCAAGTGTCTGGTGTTCACATGACAGATTTTGGCAGAACTGATGTCACACAGTCAGTCGTCAGCTGAGCAACAAGCTCGACTTCAGCAGATCTAATGATACGATATGATTTATTCACACTTCAAATTTGCTTCGCTTACATGTTTTTGGTCACTCGTTTGAATAAACTTTTATGAACGAGGTGAAACGTGCAAGTTGCAATGCACGTCTGCAGAGTAAAATACAACAAACTGCAGCTTTTCTTCTCTACAGAATCAGTTTCTCATCTGGAAAACCTACTCCACAGCTCCAGAGCTTGTTGCTGCACACACAGCAACTTTGTTCACTGTAACTTCTGAAACTTACACCAAGGACAAGCATGAAGGTTTCTGGTCTTCCTACATTCCACATGTTTGGACAGAGTTTTTTGTAGATGGTATTTTTTTTTTAATTTTATTTTCAGAAACCAATGAAAGAGAAAACATTCTGGTGGAAACTATTTGTCCATGAGTCTGGTGAAGGGAGTGGGTGGTCCCCCACTGCTGGCCGAGGCACTTTTGTGTTTCCGCAACTATATGAATGTGGCAACAAGTGTCTCCAACACCTGTGACTGTGGCCTTAGAATCCAGTCTTTACACCATCTAATGCTGATGATTGTGTCTCATTTGTATTTAGCAGTGTCCATCTGAACTGTTTGAAAGCCAGGTCGGATTATTTAGGAAAAAATCCATAGTTAGATTCTATTAATTTCTTTTTATGCAAAAAAAAAAAAAAAGAATAAAGGTGACATTCTGTGCATTTTTTTATTAGAAAAATTGTATGTTTTATCTAGTCTACAGTTGTCTGTGACAATGAACATGTCCTGTTGCCTAAATGCTTCTCATCTCTCTTCTCATAAAAAAAGAAAGAATTGGATTAGAATAAATGACTGAATTTATTCATTTTAGGTTATTAGCATATGTTTAGTTCTCCCAATAATTTGCACAAGTGGGCTCTGTTGCCCTGGTATCTGTGTGCTCAGAGATGTAAGAATAAAAAAAAATACTTCCAACACTTGAGTGACTTCACTGTTGGTATGATCCAAAGGACAAACCTGTTTGTAGAATTGCACAGCTAAGAATAAATACAAGTTGATTTAAGACAATTTAACAACTGAAATATTAAATGTACCACGTTGTGGGAAACATTTTGTGGTCACATTAATGTTGCTTTAGCCTCCCACACACTAAACATGTAACCAAAAAAAAAAAAGACAGTGGAATCAGTACATTTATGACATGTAAACATTTTAGGAATTCCCATAGAGTGTCTTAATGGTCGTTGAATTTAAACTACGTCCTCTCTTTACCAGGTATGGGACAGCTTTGGACGTCTTCTTCACTCATCGGCGTCTCATGACTATCCTGTCACCTCCTTGTCCTGGGCTCCAGATGGGGAGGTGTTCGCCGTGGGCTCCTTCAACACCTTACGGCTGTGTGACAAGATGGGGGTAAGTGGAATCTTTACGCTTTTCTTCAATTTCTTCTTTTCATTAAGTGTTGAACCCTCACAAAACAATGAAGAACTGAGGTTGTATCTCACTGGATTACCACTGTTGGCGACTCAAATTTTCCTTTGCGATCAGCGAACCTCAAGGCTGCTTTTTGAGCGGCCAGTTTTTGAAAAAACCTTACCGAACATGTTAATATACCTTCATGTAGCTAAAGTGTCAGTGGACATTGCTGCTAAAAGTTGTTTCTTCATAAGATCAAAAAAATAGCTGCAAAGAGCATAAGAAGATACTGGGAGGTGTTGGGGCTGCTGCATACTTTGGCATTAAGTCCACAGAGCAGCAGACATATGGATATGCTATGTTCATTTAATTTCATTTAAATTGAAAAACAAGTAATTTCAGGACACTTTACAAGAAAACAAGTTTATTTTACATTATATGGCTTTTTTATTGCATGTCAACAGTCTGCAAAGTTCAAGCCTAAAGTCCATAACAATGGGGATTACTGTTTTCTCGGCATGTGCAGATACTCTTTTGTGCTGATTCTGTGCATTTATGCAACATATGAAACAATTCATCTGTGCAAGAGCTATAGTAAATACATCTCTGTCTGCAGCTCAGTATAATCAGACCCTGCATAAACATTTAAACATCTTTAAGATGTGACACTGCCATGAACAGCTGTTGTTGACAGCTGTTGGCACAAGCTGCACAACTGCGCACCACTGGAGCCATGTACTTTCCGCTTATTTTTAAGCTTCTGTTTTGTACATTTTAATTTTTTTAATTTCTGTTTATTGTCATGTACAAATATAACTTTTATGCTTTCTGGTCAGTCACGTCTTTTTTTTTCCCCCCTTTGGAACAAACAGTATCTGTGGTGCACGGACGGCTTTTCCAGCGCGGTATGGTTTATATTGTGTGACTCATTTCAGGCCTTGTGCGTTCTGTACATCATTCATCCCTGTAAATCACATTAGGCCGCACGCCACATTTTCTTGTTACCTGGTGCTGATGGTAACGGCAGTAACGAGAGAGGAAATGAGAGAATGATGAATGGTAATTGTTGTTTTATTATTGCTGAACATTTGGCCAGGAACAATATTAGCAGTTTTCTCACACGGGACGCTTAATGCTTCTTTGAGTTAACGTTGAGATGTCGGCGTATCGCTGCATCAGATTGCTGTAATCAGGACAATCAAACGAGGCTGGGGTTTTGTGCCCTGATCAGCAGGCATTTCATGCTCCATTTTGATTTAATAAGGATCAAATGTCTTTTATTTATTTATTTTTTTCTTGAGCACTGAAATAAATTAGATGGAAAGAGGTCTGAGCGAACACATGTGCCTTCTTCAGCTGGTTTGAATTTTTGAAACCTGCATTAATATAATGTAATCCATAGATTCTGATTTTTTGATCTTCAAATCCATGGGTTTCAGTAGGTTTTGTTCTGTTGATTTTTTTTTTTTACATACATAAGATATTATGAATCTTATTGTTAAAAAACAAAAACATCTGGATGTAAAAAATTAGATCTATACAGCTTGCTGTTATATTTTTCCTGCCTCCGAAAGGCAAAGGTGGATTGTTGTACCATGTTTGTGGGCATGTGTGTTTGTATGTTTGTCTGTTCTCAAAACATCTCAGGAATTACTGAACGTATTTTAATGATACTTTCAGGAAGTAATCATGAACTGATTAACTTTTGAAGCCAGCACCCACCAAGATGCTAACTGACTTTAGAAAACACAAACATGTCTATAATTCAGTCAGTTTTAAAAATATTTTAGCTAAAATCTGATGTGAGAGTAGCTGAGAGTCATTCACGACACTTACTCCACGTGCTACTCACTATGTGAGGGATCTTTGCTTAAAACTTTAGCTTTATCTGTTGGATTCATCCCTAATTGTCTGTTAGCAAAATATCTCATGAATCACCGGACAAATCTGAATAAAAATACAACTTGTTAACTTTTGAAGAGAACCCAACAAAGTTGTCAGGTCATTTGGACGGTTTCTTTTTTTTTTATGTTTCGTCCTTCATCCAAAGGACTTCATCAGTCCAAGGAGCCACAACAAACTCAGTCCCACAAGCAGCACACTACCATAGTGGGCCAACCAGTTTGCTGGTGATAAGATGTTTTCTGGAGCCCACCCTCTCCCCTGTCGACTCCTCTGAGGCAGACATAGCTAAAGTGGTTCAACAAAAAAAGAAAGAACCCATTCAGGTGACGACTTAACTTTTTTTTGTTTGTTTGTTTTTTTAATCTGGATTATTGAGCATGAAATTTGATGTTTTGAAGTTAACCTTATTTAAAATGGCCACCACAGCTTTTCAACATTAGCCTTCACATAAATGGCAACAACTCTGAGTGTGACATCCCACATGAAATTGTGCATAAGGGTTTACTTCATCCATCCATCATCTTCCGCTTGTTCTGAAGTCGAGTCGCGGGGGCAGCAGCTTGAGCAGGGAGGACCAGACATTTTACCAGGGTTTATTTAATTTAATTTATTTATTTTAAGGTTTGACCCAAAACAACTACAAATTAATAATTTCTCAACATAAGATGATCTCACTCTAGAACCCTCAAATTCAATTCAGTTTCAATTCAGTTTATTTATATAGCGCCAAATCACAACAAAGTTGTCTCAGGGCACTTTACAGAAACATTCACATACATAAAAGCCAATTAGTAAAGTTCTCTAAGGAATCCAGCAGACAAGTTGAATCTTGGCTTTGTCGCAGTCTCCCATCCTGAGCAAGCACAGTGGCAACAGTGGAAATAAAAAACTCCCTTTTTAAAAGGAAGAAACCTCCAGCAGAACCAGGTTCAGGACAAGCGGCCATCTGCTTTGACCGGCTGGTTTGAGAGGACAGGAAGGAGAGACAGACAAACACAGAATGGTAGGTCCAGGTAAAGGTCCAGGTGTACCTGAAAGACAAAAAAACACATGTTAAGGATAGAAAAAAATTATTACAAATGTTGAGCAGAGTAAGTAAAGACAGTAGCAGAGTGAAAAGTGTGGTCAGTTTGTCCTCCAGCAGTCTAAGCCTATAGCAGCATAAGTAAGGGACAGTTTAGGAAACCCAAGCCGACTCTAACTATAGGATTAAGCAAAAAGGAAAGTCTTAAGCCTAGTTTTAAAACTGGATAATGTGTCAGCCTCACGGACAGAGATTGGAAGTTGGTTCAAAGATGGCGGGTGACGTGTCTCTTCAAGGGGCGATTCATAAACTGGCTGGCACATTAAAGCAACTGAAAGTGAAATAGCTAGCTAACTTAGCTGTGGTGATGGAGGATTTGAGCGCAGATGAGATTTGCAGAAGGCGACTGGCACGACTGGTAGGAAGACAGACATCTCAGCCTAGCACCCCTATTACATCTCCATAGAGAGGGACTCCACCTGGACCCTCAAATTTTGTACTCCAAACCGTACCTCCACCTTTCAATCATTGGGGTTCAGTGTCTGCAGTGGTTCCCCATTATTTTATGTGTGATGACCTAAATCACCCTCTCCACCCTTTACGGGTTTGTTTACGTGGTTGTTTTGTCCATTGTTTCATCGCTGCTGTGGTGTCTTGGTTAAGGAAGAGTGAGGGTGATGATAAATATGATGAATGTGGTTCTGCCCAGCTCTGACTGGAAGAAGGGCTCCTCCCTGAGCCTTGCAGATAAAGTGTTTTGTAGCGTATGGTGGTAGGGGAGAGTAAGAAGCATACAAAAATAAATAAACACAAAATCCCTCAAAGGTCACGCCACTTGAGTACCTTTCAATGTGTGAAACTCCTTTCCTGCATTATGTTGCATAAATGCAAACACACTTGGCCACTTGAGTAGAATTGCTGTAATAATGTTTGTTCTGCTGTTTTTAACAAACATGAAATGCAGAAGACATTAACCAATTACATGTGCTTTAAGTTAGTGGTGCAGCAAGGGTTACCCAGTGTTTTCACTTACCAGCGTGACTAATGGAAAGGAGTTTTGTTCTGTATCTGCAACAATGAAACCCTGCACTTTAACATATTGCTGCTGGCTCAGCAGGATCTGTCCTGCTCATTTAACCCCTTCACCTCATGTCCAGACCAGTTTTTCTACGCTAACTTGCTTTTACTCATTCATGTTCTAGGGCAGACATAAGGGCCTTAGTTCCCCCGTTTTTGCAGAACTGAATAATTTTCTTTTCCCGAATTATTATTAATCAAGATTTTCCTCAAAGTTTAGTTGCACGTGGAAGTCTTCTTTGTGGAGTACTCTTTTCTTTTTATAGGCGATCCAACAGCACAAACGACACAAAGAAGTTCACTGTCCCTTTTACAAGACTCAGGAGACACAATAAGTCAATGTGCGTGTTTGTGTGCCTACCGTAGTGTATGCATTTGCCCACATGCCTGTGTGTGTGTGTGTGTGTGCAGCCATTGCCGTGCAAATGTGTCTGCGAGACAGCAGTCTATTTACGAGCCACTGCAGCTGGTGTCTAGCGTCTGGACCCTGTCACGATCCCTGACACTGTCACTGGCTAACAAGTAGGACTTACTGTGCCAGGCAAGCACCCTCTCTCTTCTTTCTCCCCCTTCTGGTTTTACACAGTTTTTTTTTTTCTCCACTGTAAAATCATATATGATATATTTTTAAACAATTCTAATAAACGAAGCCATGAAGTTCTACTTTTTTAATAAGATAGGAGTACTGCAGGGTACAACCATGTTTAGAAGTTTCCTGTAGGCAGAAAAAGCATAATAAAATTAAGAAAGCACAACTTCCTTTTTATGAATTAGCTTCCATTTGCCAGACGAACATTATTTAAATGAATAATCTTCCTTTGACTTGTTGAATTTAGTCATCATGACTCTTCTCTCTTATCAGTTTTCTTTTTTCCAACTCGAGCCTTCCTGAAACTGTGACTGATCTAAACCACACAATGATTCAGGTCCTGGTTACACTTCTTCCACTAGTTCAGTTTACATATCTTTGTTTCACTTCTTCCTACACCCC